GAGCAGCGGGCCATGTTTGCTGGCACAATGCAACCCCTTCTCTCACTTACTTCGACATCGGCAGTCGACTGATCTGAGGATTTCCCACAATCCGAGTGTTGTGCTATCAGAGTTAGCGGCTCGACCGACAATCTGATTAGCGCACAATAATTTCTTATTAAGAGTAAAACTCGAAAAATAGAGGCCACTTGTGTTGAAAAAAAAAATTGTGGCAACGAGAGTAGTAACTTCAAAGTTATCCTGAATCAGACTAACATTCAGTCGTCCGAGGAGCACACGAGAACGCTTTAAAAAGATAGTGGAAAAAAACAACAGTTTCAAAGAAATGATCAAAGTTATAAGGTTTATTTTTACTACATATACTCTATCTAGGTCGATACAAATCTGGGAACGTTGATACCAGCCATGAAGTTCATCTATGTAAAATTGAGTCATGCGATTTGAATCATGTTTTGGCAGCTCTTTTTGTAGCTTCAATTAATAGCAACTTGGTACCAGTCAATGAATTTTACAGGTTTGTAAATAAAAATAAGTCGGATGGGGATAAGTCAGTCCTATAAGGTGGATGCTGAACGATTTTCCATCGAAATTCGCGTAGCACAGCTCCTGGCTGCAGAGCGTCATGAGCGAGTGCATTCAGTCAATCAGGACTTGATCGACCGACGCTGATGTTTGAAAGAGGACGCGCCGATGTTGCTTCCCAAAGCGTTTTTCGGCGATTTCTTTTGAAAATTTTATCAAATCACTTCATAATTAACAGCTGTAATACTTTATTGTTCAAAATTTCCATAGAAAGATCTGTCCTTGATTCATGCTGATCTGGGCGAAACAGCCGAGAAACCCATCGAGCGGAGAGCTTGCTCAGTCCCAAACTACCCACTATAGAATTGTGTGTGCGCAACAACACAGATCTCTGCTACAGATTCGGTGGTTATTCGCCTAACTTTTTCAATGAGATTATGCACTGCATATATGTTTTCGCCACAACATGCTGTGCGTGGCCTGCCTCTGCTGGGCTAATATTTGGTCTCGTTTCTTTCGCTTCTGAAGCGACTAATCCATTTGTATAGGTAGCCGATTTATTTGAGGCACTATAGTCACCACAAACTTGTTCCAGAGAGTCAATGATTTGGCTGTTATTCCACCCAAGATTCACCATGAATTTGATGTGTGACCTGGCCTCGATTTCGACAGATGCCAGGTTGCATAAACGGTTGTTGCTTTTCAAACAGCTACAATGTTTTTTAATATTAATTTAAGGTTCATGTGAGAACCACCTTGATACAGGATCGTTCTGGTGCATTGGCATCATAGTCTTTCTATAGAATTTTCAGTTATGTCTATTTTCCACGAACATTTTTAAGCCCTCTCGTACTACTTGAAAAGCATACTAATCTACACTGTATTGACCACTGATCAGGGGCCATACTTTCAAAACTCGCAAAGTGAACGTAAGTATTTACGCTCTATTTTCTTGTCTATGATTGGTGAATTTGGCTTGGAAGGCCGTCAATGATTGGCTGATGAACTTACGATCTCTTAACTTATTTTGAAGGTATAGGCCCAGGACTTACAGCGTTAATCCCGCACGTTCTGCATAGATAGGGGGGGGGGAACAGATAGTGGCCAAAACTAGGAGAAATCAATGATTCTCAATGAGCTAAAGCTCGCCGAGAACAGTAAAGTGAAGCCCAGATAAGGTGTGGTGACCAGGTTAAGTTTATTATGAGATTGCTTTTAAATATAACACTCGCAAAAAATTTCGTCAATATTAAAAAAATAAGAAACGAGTTGTCGTTGCAGACAAAAAATACGTAGGGCTAAATTCAAACACACTCTCAACATGGTAAAAAATGATGATAAGTAATTCTTGCCTGTCAGTTCATGACCTCAATGTTGTCAGTAATAATTACAAGCTAAAGAACTGTGAGGCGCACTATATAAATATATACGTATAAACTGCCTCGAGTGGTCACAGGCAAAACTGGTCGTGAAGAATGCCATCGCGAATAATATCTATACAATTCGCCAACTAAACTCCAAGTCTTACCTTGCGTATATCACAATTATTGAGCAGGCTGTACGCAGCTGTTAAGTATTTAGAGCACAATTTGCACGCGATCGCTGAAGCTGTGCTCTCGCGACTAGTGAATTTCTGACCACAGCACATTGAGTATATGAGCTCAGCGATATGGAGTTTGAAGGAGAAAAAGCGAAAGTGAAAACGATCAAGGTAATGATTTCATGCGATAAATAGACCCGATTTCAAGTAAGTTACTCTGAATTTTACCGCGTAGCGGTCACGATTAATGGAGCGTGACATGCGACCGCAAGGTCTATCACCATATATAAAGTGAGACTTTGACGCTGACAGTTTCAAGGACAGAACAGTAATTAAAAGCCTCCGATATGAAAGCCTCTCTATGCACGCAAGGCTCGGTTCTATGCAGCGGTCACTTGACCTGCGGCAACGGTGGCAGCTTTCCTTTAGCGCCTGGGACGTGAAACTGTGCGCGAAAAAAACAGGGAAAATGAAAGATATATGGCATCAAATTGACCCACTTCAGAACCGCGGCGTCGGCATCGGGAGACTTGTGCCCTACCAGGCATCATCACAGCAGGGGCACGGCAGGGATTATCGATCAAAGGAGCAGCGCACAAATTACTTCGATGGCATGATATATTGTACTTACTGGCGTCTTTATCATAGTAATTTGTTATTTCCATTCGAACCTCATAGTCCTTAAAAAGATGAAGCTTATTACCAAATTGCTTTTATTAACTGAGTAAACTAGACTGAATACTAACTTTGGGACGAAATAAAGTTTTACCGTCAAATTGTGCACTTGAGAATTAGGGAAAAAGTGAATGCTTTTAGCAGTGTGCAAGATATGAAACAATAGGACAGAATGAATCATTCAGTGTTATCAGTGAACGAAGAAGAGCAAACATCTGACCGTACGAACATCCTGCAATAAATATCCGGTGCCAGCTCATCGAAGGATTAAGACATTGAAGACCAGCAAATATTGGGTATTCAGCCTAGTTTAACTGCCAGAAAGTCATCAATTCAATGAAACTTTCCAAACACCAAGAGAACCCTGCCACAAAAATTAGACATGCACATACACTCAAACAAGAAGGCAGTTACCACAATTCCCTTCATTAATTTCCTCGCTTGGCCGCCAACAATCACGAGTCCAGAAAATTCAGATGACTTGAGGCTACAATGTAAAGTATATTCAATACTAAACGTGTTCTTAGAAAGACAAATGCAGGATTGCCTGGTAAAATAACGCTCGAAGCATTCCTAATAATTCTAATATACAAGTACAAGCTGCGGCTTCAAGGCGTGTGGTGTGAGGAGAGTCGCATACTTCACTTCGGCTGAAGGCTATTCAGGGAGTGAAGCTCACCTCCCGCATTGCAGGCATTTAACCTTAGTCGATGACTCCGTCCACTCTATGATAATTATATTCTTACTCAGATCTGCCTATCTGATTTCAGAGACCAAAGGTTAATAACTAATGTGGTCTAGGCAGTAGAGCATGTAGTGTTATGAATGAACTGCTTCCATATGTGCGCATGAGGCACTCGCACAGTTTGAAAGTTTAAAGTCTAGCACGAGCTTCCGTGACCGATCGTCTATGTTCAGAAGACAAGCGTACACCCGGCAATATTTATTGGTGAAAGAAAGAATGGTATACAGGCACTTGGAGTGAACATGTGTTGCAGGAGAGTTGGATTCGGCATAAGAATAACAAAGCAATTAGTCCGTATATCCACAAGATAATAATCAATTAACGGCCGCTGCTCGATGTTACGATAATTTGGATATTTCTTGTATTACAGCACGTAATGGATCGGCCAGAGTGAAGCTCGCTCACATAATTGGACACTGAGTAGCAGCTCAAGACCAGCTGCACCAGAGCCTACAAATTCCAATCAATCCTACTCAACAACTACGCTGCATAAATACCGTCCATCGTTAATTATACTTGCATTATTGGTTATTGAACTGATTATGGAGCTGTTCTTCAAAACATTCTCAAGTGAAATATTTTTTGTCGTGTTCTTTGTTTTTAAACTGTTTGTAAATGAATATATTATAGAAAGGGTGAGAATTATTAGGAATTTTAACTTACAATACAACTGATAAATTGTCCTGTATGCTAGACATAAAGTTGATATATAAGTCACCACAGGTGCTGACACGAAATTAAGAATTTTCTTTTCAGAACCTATTTAACGCCAATACCCATCAAGAAATCTATTTTTAGACACAATTTTAGTAGTGAATAAAATAAAATATAGAGCCTAATAAGCCTTGTGATATAACATGCACTAGAAAACTGTGGTAACAAGGGAAACGTATAAAATTGTATCAGAAACATCAAAGAAGATACTCAGCAACGCGTGCGAGCACTCAGCGGTCGGGACAGGGCTGTTGAGAAGCGCATAATGAGCTGCTGCTATAGGGCCATCCACTTTAAGGCCTTGCAGCGTACAAGCCTTCTACTTGCTTCACGAATGCAATACTAAAATTTTCGAGGATGTTGAAAGTTGAATACAAATTTTGTAGGTTGGATCAGATAATTATTTATGGAGTGTAAAATATTCAAACTCTGAAATAATAAATCACCATCTATCAGGTTTAACTCTGGGCGCCTTTCCATAGATAGTTCCAGCTGAAAGTAATGCATTCATTTACAACGAGGAAACTTACTCCATTTTTCATCGCAGCCAGCATAATATTTACATAATCAAACCGAGATTAAAATGCACAGGAAACATCTCGGCGCAATGCAAAGATACTATATTTTCCCAGACTTTCGGGGAATTTTCCCGAAATAAAACTTTAGAAACGACGCTACAAACTTGAAGGCACATCAGCAGGACGCAAGTAACTCCACGGCATTGCAGCCATAGTATAAAAATCTGCGAGACAACTTCAATAAGATACGTGCACGCAAGTAACGCAAGCAAGTGCGTGTACTGACCTGAGTCGATGTCGAGCGCAGCATCCCTGGCCTCCTCCTCAGGTTCGGACGACGGCGCGCGCATCAGACTACGCGACGAAGACACGTCCTCGTCCTCGCTGTCGTCTGCTTCAGGCACCTCGATGCCCTTACGTTGCCTGCAACACACATGCGGTACTATTAAAATATAAATATCAGATTTGAAATAAATAATAATTTGTGGAAAAAAGTAAATGAAAAGATACCTATAATAAGATTGCACAGATATTACTGTGGCATGCCTGCTCCCGGATAAGAAATTTAGAAAATCAAACTTCAAAGAGCCAAGATATTCTCATCAAATGCGACCATCTGGAAGCAATCTGGGACGCTTGATGATGAAACCGGAAATCGCAATATACAAGATCTCCATTCCAGAATTACAAGAGCGAAGATTTGCTGTTATCGGAATAATAATCTTTATACAATAACTAGAAAATCTCAAGCTAAAATTTTCACACACCGTAAACTTTCGAGACACCTCAACAAGTCGGGGGACGACGACAATAAGCTTTCGTTCCCAACGGAGCTAGACTGGCGAGGACTCTCTTCGGCGTCGTCGAGGGAAGAGTCCTGCGTGACGCGAGCGGTCGAGTCAGAAGTGCGGAGTGGGACCATCGCAATGCAGCAAACTTCGTTATGCTCGCTTATGTCACCAAGCTGAGGTAGTTTACTGGCAGACTTAAGGCAGCCTTCGTGTCTTCTTGAAGACGTGCACCGTAAAAGTATTTCGCTCGGCAGAGACAGGAACTTCACTCTCAATTCTTCCATCGTGAACGCAGGTTCGATGTCATCAAGGTTCGGAAAGTTCCTGAAGACCGCAGTGCTCGGACCAGCGGGGGATGATTGGTCGTGTTGTTGAGGGAAGTACGTGCTCACGGTTCGACGCTTGACAATAGGCGACGCAAGGAAGCGAGAGATTCTTTTGATGGTCGGAGATCGCAGGATCGATTTGTCAAATCGTGCTGTGCCCGATGTTCTCGAAAAGAGAGAACTCGTGGAACCCCTTTCTTGGCTTGATGATCTCAGGAGAGACGCTACTGAAGGGTCAGAGGTGGAAAGACTTCCGGATTCCTCGGCTTGACACGACGTGCTTGCCATTGTTAATCAGAGTTTAATTTACAATTAGTGTCAATTCATTACCACTTCGGATGAGACAGATATCTATAAAAAATTTTCACATTGAAGCTATTCCTAATCTACTGTAGCGGATAATTCACAGTGATGATAGACACGCCTGCGATTTATATAAAAATACTAGCACAACACACATAGACAATATAACGCATGAGAAAATGTATCGAAGATTGCAGATACTTTCAGATAAACAAAAGCACAGCATTCAAGCACAATTCCGTAAGGCTGCATAAAATCATCTTCTGCACCATACACCCGAGTTTGGAATCAACGTGTCAATGCTACGCAAGCGAATATAAGTGCACAATAATCTATTACTGAAATTATATTATTGATCCATAACAAGAATTGATAAATAAATAAAAGATTGCCAGCAACACAGTAGGAATGCTGCCAACATAAAGCAACCACCGTGAACATAGTCCAAGCCTGGTCTCCGCATGTAGGAGCAACAGAATTAGCCACAAGCTTTAATTATTACAAAATACGAAACTTGCTCGAAATAAATTTAAATCTTGATTTATATAAGTGTATTGAGTTTCAGTACTGCGAGGCCCAATCAGAAAAATATTCAAACCAATCTCAGGTAACGTAGCACCAAGGGATGGAGCGCACAAGAGATCTACACTCAGACTGCCATCGGAGAGAGTGCAGCGCTTGAGGAGACACAGCACGCCTATGATTGCATGACATCACTGCATGATGCTGCTGAAACGCACCTCACTTACCCCTCCGCCAACACATTAATTGAACATTACGGGGAGAACAACATTGAGACAAATGGTCCACTTGCTACCAGGGGAAGTTAAGAGTTCAAATTTCACAAGAATTAGCATTTTAAAACATTGAGATGCGTACGGTCATTGAGATGCGCCTGAATCACGCATTGTATCCACAAAAAGATTAGGCAACATAACTTTTATCACTCTGTGTCTGATATTTGGTACCGTAGTACAAAAAAGTTCAGAAAAATAATAATCAACTATAAGAAGCAGGATAGATCAAAAATTAATCGGCTTTTAAGCATTGCTATTTTTTAAGTAGCCTAATAATTTACAATAGCTATGGCCGATTCACTGGGCGTTGGTTCAGCAGCCGCGATGGGGTCAAGCACTAAGCAATATCAAGATCTAAGGCAACTACAAATGATGGAGTGCTGACAAACGTGGGGGTTTATTTATAGTATACACACCTGAAGATTACATCTCTCTGGGACAAGGTTTATTAAAAATTAGAAAAATCAGTCGGATGACTTGAAATCAAGTTATTCTTTTATATTATACCTCCTCTAATTGTATTAGTAATTGACCGAGTTAGAGCATAACCAATGCTACCGCAAACATTGAAAATAATAATTTAGGTATGAATAATTATCTTCACATCATTTCAATATCACAAACTTTAGATAAAATTCAATATTTTTATATAAAAATAAAAAAATAGACTAATAGAATCCAGCAACAGTTGAAAAATAGAACAGTCTAATGAAATTCTAATGGAACAAAAGCTGTATTTGATAATCACACGCGATGCGATGCGTCATTTGAGGCGGTTTTACCAGAAACTCAGGTTAACGTGCACCAGCTCATGAAATAAAAATAGCTCTTCATGTTGAACTTGTGATGCGCTAACAACGCCTGTCAAGGATCCTAGCACACAAAACTAGCAAGGATCCTAGCACACACTTTGAACACAAAATCTCAGATGTCGCCGAGTAGAAACCAGTTTATACGAGGCTGGAGACAAAGATTTGTCAAGTAACACATAAATAATAGCAAGACTACAGCCATTGCGCCTAGAAATGAAACTATCATTACATTGCTGATGGTTAACGGGAGTAAAACCTTTAAATACAGCACGCTTCACATGCCCATGCACAGCAGGCATGCGACGTGCCACTGCTATGACACGAGCACCACTTCACTGAAGAACACCGTGCAACAGAAGGCAGCTTGGCATACTCCTCCGCATCCCGGCATCCGCTCGAGATAATTTCTCATCTCTATTATTATCCCCAAACGAGATATGGGACGTCGCAACCACATCAACTCATTTTATATAGGAAATGACACCCGAAACTATATGTAAGCGTGTCATGCCGAAATCGCGGAATTGCTGATTCAATGGAATCGGCAGCCAGTTGCCGAATATGTATAATCAGCATTTCGTTACTGATTCAGAAAATTGGACGTTAGAGTTAGAACATAAATCGACAGCTAGAGTTAGAAAAGGTTGGGTCAAGTTCGGTCAAGTTCCTTTATATTTAAATAGGTATTAAAAAATAACTGGGCTGACTGACCTAACCCCAGATTCCTATAGTAATGAAGAGCTGATTCTATAGATTCGTCAACTGGCTACTGATCAAATAGAATCGGCTATTCCGCGATTTCGGCACGACATGTTGTGCCGAGCCGACACAGATATGTGCACCGACATAGATATGCTTTGAGATTGAAACTATTTTCGCCAGTAGAGCAATTTGATAATGGAACAATTTAATTTAACAACGCAATAAAATATGCAAAAGCTCGCGTCAAATGGAGTATGCAGAAAAATAAGGAAAACATTGATAGCAATAATTTAAGAGGGAAAATATTTCTTCTCGACTCTTAGCAAATGATTATACCTCTTAATGAAACTTGTATAAAACGAAGCGTATCCTGGACGAGATATATAAATATAATATAAATGAATCAAAGCTGTTAGGATTGTTTCTAGCATTTATTCAATGACACTAGACGTGTGCAGCATTGCGTTGACTGTGCACAATAATGAGCATTAGCGCCCTGAATAAAGTAGAAAACGTTCATCTAGTACTCGAAAGCATGGGAAGTAATTCAGTATTTTGTTTCTTCAGACCTCAGACATAAATAACACGATGATCATAATTCCGTGCAGCGGCAGTGATTGCTGATAGTGGTTTAATTATCCGGTGGTTTAATATGATAGTTCAAATTTCCTTTTAACTTACAATTCCATAAATAAACCTAAATTCACATTACTTCTTTTCGTTATATCTTGATGCGCTACAATGAAACCATGTATATACAGGAAATGATGATAGTATGTGGTGTTATAGATTTAGTGAGTTAATAACCCTGCATTCTTTTTTAGTGAACGTGTGAATTTCCGCAGGAGATAAGTTCAACATGAATCCATTCATTTTTCCGAGATAATGAACTAAAGATAAATGCAGACCTAGAGCCAGTCAAAACTGGATGGTTTGACACGTTTCTAGATACTTAGTGACTTTGATTATCGAAAATAATATTTTTTAAAATGTTCAGTGCATATACGTAGAATTCGATTTTTTATTTCAACTAACGAATGCGTCATCAACAAAAAGTTGTCTTTCGTATTTTGATTAGTCACACGATATTCCTGGAATAAAATTCATGCCAGCCCCTTCCCCCACTAAAGAGTAGCCTTTCTACGCAGAATTACTCCAATGCACCATATTTATATTACGTACATAAAGCCTATATAGTACGTACATGAGGCCTCCGCATGCTTCGTTGCTCAGGCCTCTTTCGACGGCCACAGCTCAGCACTGTCAGCGCATCAGAGGCAATAATCACATATGCATCGCAACTATCACATCGCAATGCAATAGAAAATGTTCAACAAATAATTTAACGCGTGAAATTTGAATTGAACATCAATCTTAAATCTAGCAATAATTAATTAACAAGAGTAAAATTCATTAATGAATCGCCACAAAAATTATCTTGCATTCAACTACCTCTACTGTCTCCGTCGTAGGAGCAGTTTCAAGAAGGACAACAAATACGTAGAATAAACAGAGCCACGCCTCACCTTTTGAGGAAGAAGTCGAGATTGACGTAGTTGCAGTGCTTGGGGCTATCGAGCGTGTGAGGCCCCGGGGAGCCGCAGGGGGAAGACAACCCCTCCCCCGACCCGCCACTCTTGGAGGCAAGGGACGTGCCAGACCCGCCAGACTTGAGGGTGTCGTAAGGCTCGTCATCTTCGTCAGGAGCAACCGTGTCATAGAGATGCTCCTCGTCGCCGCTGAGGTCAGCACAGTGCAGAGCGGGAGGCGTTGCAGGGCGCCGACCGCTGTCTACTGACGACGATGTAGAGGCAGATTTGTATAGAGCATTTGGCCGCTCCACAGAGGACTTGACAAACGGTCGAGTATTCAGCGGTGACACCTGAGATGCGGTTAGTGAAAGGTGGGGTAAAGGTGCGGGAGGGCGTGGCTCAGACGCGTCCCCAACTGAGGGAGGACGAGGCGTGAAATTTTTCGGAGGGACCCGAGGAGGCGATCTACCTTCTTTGGAGTTCTCGTCTCCGTCACCCGAAATGGGGATGACTGTTACGAACGAGGAAGGCTCGCAGCTAGAAAGACGGTGTTGTGACACTAACGTGGGAGCTGCAGAGGCTGCAGGCACAGAGGTACTTCTAAGGAAGGCTGCAGGCCTGCTACGCACGTTGCTGTTCTTGTTGAAACGCCGCGTGAGCTGTTTCACGCTGCTACATTGCTCCTCTTCTTCCCGCTCATGGTCTGGTGAGCTTCGTTGGCCCAAAACACTTTTAATAGTTTCGTCCACGTGTTCTTGGTCAGCGGTGTAAGGGGTATCTGCACCTTCACCTTCTCCTCTTTCCCCCCTGTTATGCAACTGCACATCTTCCACCAAGCGCTCCAGATACTCTACGTAGAATTGTTCCTTCTCTAGTTCCTCGCTCAAGATCGCAGCTCTTGCCCGGTGCTTTGCTAAATTTGCTCGCACGTCTTCTTCCCAGGCGCTTGGTAGTTCTCTACCAGGGAATCGAGAACGCCAAGCCTTATGAAAATCGTCAAATACACTCATCGCACACACTAAAGAAACGACACTGAGCTATCGTAAAGCACAAACATTGTCGATCTCCCGGAAGAACAGCGCACACCCACTCTGCCGCACAGCGTAACGTCAACTGCCCGTCCGCACTCAGAAGCCAGAATCAAATGTAGTCGTCCTGCAGCCGCGGGCCGACGCAACCAGGGCCACGAAACAGCCTTGAGGCTTTTCTTCATTCAAATTTTCAACTTATCATGCAGTGAACACCTTAATCGAAAAACAAAACTTCCATCGACAAAATCCAAAAGTGGCACAGAGGAATTACTTAACTGTATGACATTTTGCCCACCAATATGTAATTGTCCACCGTGTCAGGAAATTTTTGAGAATGTGTTCTGAGTTCACAGCTTTAGCAAGATAGATTACAGAACTTATTTCTGTTTAACATTCACCTCTAATTTAGTCATGACATGTGTGCAGTGAAAAAAGTTCTCATGATAATGCGTATTGTATAACTGGTTCGGAAAAGTGCATCGGTGTTAGATATAATCCCTTTTATTTGGACTAAACTGCACATCATGATAGGCGCAAGAGATAATATTGATTTTTAACCTACAAATGGACTTCATTTTCTCATAGACGAGCAGCTATGTCATGAGCACTTCCGTTATATTGTGCTTCGGTTATGACGTTACTGTACAACGTGCACTTTATTTTCATAGCACGGTTAATGTTGCACAATTAGTTAAATTTCTTAAGACTGAGATACCAAACCATTTGCTGGAATTAAGCTGTCTTATATAGATTTTCCTGTAATCGTTTTCCATTCGTGTTGCACAAATTAAATTCAACTGCCATAGATATCTTTGTTCATTTTTTCTTCCATTTAGATTCTATAGCGGATATCCTTTAGTGCCCAGGGTAATTTTGTCACGGAGCGGCGGCGTAGTCTCAAGAGTTGTTATTCAAGGGTTCCTTTGTTTCTTGAAAAACGAAGTCCTGAAGTATGAACAGTCGGGAAAGGCCCGCTGTTTAGATATACCAAGATGCAGATTGACCGTGAGACCCGCCGTAAATTTGTTCGAAACGTGCCGCACGTCTCCCGACAATTTTACAAATTTGTCCAAGACGTGCCCCGAATAGTTAAATAACTTGCACCTTCCGATTTCATGCATCAAGGAGAAGAAAATTTAATTGAATTTATTTGCGATATGAGCCGGAAGAACATCGTAAAGCAGGCGCTACGTAAATGTTTCTAGAGTAGTGAAACATAATAAGCCGATCAATTGGTGCAACCCATAAATAATTTTAACCGAAAAAATATAAATAACCTCTATAACACCAAAGAGTAAAGTGAAGTCAAGAATCAAATCTGCACTAACAGGAAGCGCCTACTTCCAGAATTACTTCGCAATTAATCCCAACACTGGCAATAGAATAGAAGTGTCGGCGATGAAGAAATAGGCTCCTGGCCTGTTGCCGATTAGTAATATTCTGTACTGAATTGGATCAGTTAGAATAAGTTTCTGAGCTTAGAATGAGGCTATGTTAAGAAAATGTTTTCAATCGGCAATTGAATACATGTGAGAAAAATAAAATTTGTTCTTCGAGAATAAAATCTTGCGAACATACTGGCAAGATGGGAAGGTTACCTCACAGGGATCTTCTTGTCAGGCACATTTACACAAATGATACAATAGCGAATGTAAATAATTTATTTCTACAAATACCGAGGAAGTGATGTTGAGAAAACCATGAGGGATAACTTTCAGGAAAATAATTGTAAAATATTACAATTGCAATTTATGATGTACATCGTTGGAGAGAACTGTTCGGAGGGACGTATTTACAGCAGATGTCGAGTTCTTCAGTCCTTGTAAGCAGGGCCCCACTCGATCTTAATGAGCTGACTCACTTTGGCCTGCAAACAACATTTAACGTTATTTTCATTTCATCATTGAGGCTGGTTGTCACGATTACAAATTTTTCTTTATAATTAAAAATTATAAACTAGTTTTTCAAATTAAGTTTCAAGGGTTTAATGTTTCAACAAATATTGAAGAAACAGCATTTGCCAATCACTAACAGGGTTAAATGCATATTATTTCCAATAAGTTATTAAGAATAATGAATTTCTACTGTTCTCTGTCAAACATCTACTAACTAATCTGAAAAAATTATGTCCATGAGTATTCTTAAGCCTGCATAATTAACAAGGAAACAAACAATTAATATGTCGATGATGATTTCATGCTTCATTTTCTTCAAGATATTCAATATGATTTGAACTCACGAAAGTGAGGGTGGCAGCGCAGAAGATAGCGGAACCAAGAAGAATCATGTTGTATTTGCTCTGAGTCTGAGCATAAGCAACTTGCCAGGAGCCAGAGGGCACAGGTAAGTCGTTCATGGTGGGGGGCTTGACGTGTGTGAGGCCATAGCCTGCCATGCCACGTCTTCCTGCTAAACAGAAACAAAACATTAGAAATGATGATAAAATGTGACACAATTTCACATTTTGAATCAAGTTGAGGAATCCACATTTTCTTGAGGATAAATGAAGAGTTTCTGTTTAGTGAATAACCCATACTTAGTACAAAATAAAATGAAAGCTTAGAAATGTTCAAAAAGAGTATTCTTGCAGAACATTTAGGCTAATGCTCAAATGTTTTTACCTTTTCTGTGGTATTTTTAAAGGTTTTATTTTCAATTTGTGTGCAGATGGGAAAAAAATGATCATTGCTCTACACAAATTATAGATATAAATATCCAAGAAGTTTTTCAAATTTTTCACAAGACAAATCTTGCTATGACCAAAAAAAAAAAAAAAAAGAAAAAACTTCATGATGTTATGGTAGGCAGGCATAGAGAAGAGAAAAATGCAATGAGAGCAGATACAAATATTCCAGCCAAATTAGGTACGGTATAGACATAAATCAGCCAAAAATCATTGTTAGAAAGATAGTGACTATCTGAGAATGCATTAGAACACTTAGTGATATAAGGTCAATACAATGATAATGCTTTATTTTAATGAAGAACATACAAATCCCTACAGATAGCAAATTTCATGTTTAAATATTTTCTGCTAAGCTCACACAAAAGTGGTTAGTTTGCTATTTTGAAAACAAACTTTGCAATGATAATTCTTTAATTATTCAGTAGTAAATCAAACAGCGCCAAATTAATGCATCTTCAGTGATTAAACTTAAGAGATCCTAATTTTACAGGTTTGTGAAGTAACTGAAAATTTTACTGAAGATGAGTATGGACCAAGCCTCAAAAAAGTTCATCTAAAGAAGAAAGGCTTCTTCAAACTGCATGACTAAGGTGCAGTATGCATCACGATGCATTCCCTTATACATTAACAGAGTTTAGAATAGTACAGTAGCATGGTACATAGTATGGGAAGGAGACCTGCTTCCTAGACAGACAGGCTAGAAGGCAGCAAGGAAGGTGTGACCCCCCCCCCCTCATAAATTGGCTGAGTGCTTTTGTCCCTGGTAGAGCTTTCAGGCCTGCTGTTTCAACAAGTTTATCGGAAAGGAATTACATCTAACTAACTTGACACTTTTCCAAGTAATTTTTGTATACACAGTGGGAAAATTTACCATCAAACGGGATTATAAGGGACGGGCAGGGTAAATCAGAACAGTCGGCCCACATTTTGTAGCAATGTTGTAGCAGCTAAACTAATCAAAATATTGCTAAACTAAAAATAGTGTTAAAAGTTCAACATTTCTACTATCCATGTAGCATAAAGCAAGCTAAGAAATCATACATTTACTACCTCTAAAAAATCCCTGCAAAAAAGTGTCATAAGTGAGATTTTGGAAACGTATCTCTGCTAAGGTCTGTAGCAAAGAAATGTTTGCCGTATCAAAAAATTTTACTTGCATAAAAATTACACACAGGTGTTGGCTTGAAAACGTGATTGACAGAATTTGCATATCTCATTAAAAAAAAATGGCAGCCATTTCCACAAGACCTGGGTAATAAGGGACACCCCCCAGGGGTAATAAGGAACACCCATAAAAATGCATTTACAGTAGAAACCTGATTAGCAAAGGCTCCAGTTAACAAAAAAATTGATTAACAACAAAAAATTTTGATTATATTTACCTTGCTTGGCAAACAATATTTCACTTAAGGAAAAATTGATGCATCATCAATCATCACAAAATTGAGCAGAGAATGTGACAGATAGAATTGTGCACCAGGCAACATAAAATGAAAGTAATTAACCTGCACTATGCTTTATTTATCCAAAAAATACAATAGTTGTCACTAGATTATTAATATCTGTTTCAGGTATGTTTTTTTTCTGATATTTTCTGTTACAGTGCATTTACGTGACCCAATTAAAATGGGGCAAATTTACAAGCCATCTTGTAAGTTTACAGTTACAGAAAAGTGCTCCACGGGTGCTGAAATGAAGCTTGCAGGGGACAAGGTCATTGTAAATGCTTAATGGCATGTTCATGGATATGGTAATATCACATCAATAATATGGTAATGTATGGATATGGTAATATCATATCAATAAAGGAAAAACAAGTAGAATCACAGAAAATGTCATTTATTCTACATCTACATCATCTACAAAGGAAAAGGAGGACTTCAGATTGCTGTTAGTAATATACAAGTACATTCTGCATGCTTCAAACGTTTAATAATCAAGTTTTTTTCAAGTCTCCTGGATTAACCTGTTCCCAGGGGTAATTCGGGATGCTTTCATTTTCCATCTGGCACCTTACAAATAGTATATGGAATTTTTGAAGATGCCATATGATGGCCCTTGCAAAGAGCTATAAAATGAGCCCAAACTCATTTATATCTTTATGAAATGTTTCATGGTAACAAGTTATTAAAAAAAATGCTCAAAACTGTCCCTTATTGCCCCATTTGGTGGTACATGGATGAATTAACTGCTCAAAGCAAAGCAAATTGACCATTTGTTCATTTAAAATATTTTTTATTGCAGCACATACAAAAAATTGCCAAAGAGTACATTATATTCCAATTTGCAGGGATTCAAAACTCTTCAGATGACATTAACAGATCAAAAACAGGTCTCAGCAAGGATTTATAATATATTTATAATTCAACAACATTTCTAATGTATTAACATTCATATTCAAGTTAATAGAAGCATTGATTCCATCAAAGAATGAAATTTTGGTAGACATAAGTAAATAATACATCTAAATAGGATACAAGGAAATTTTAAATAGAAAAAGATGGCTTTGGTCCTTTGGAAACAGATAGATGGAAATGTTTAGGTTGACTTATTTAGGGTAAACATGGTATATTCCAACATCGTGGGTAATTCCGACACTTCTCAACTTTTTCCTTTATATTAAGCTTTGTCTTCGTTCCACGCATTTGTTATTGTTGATATAGTGACGTCATACTATTGCACGCCATACTATTGCCAAAACACTAGGTCTGGGCCGTCTGGCAGGAAAATGTTAAGATCCAAAGAGAGACAGTGCATGACAGTCACTGCACGTCACCTAGTAAGAACATCGAAAAACGTGTCAAAGTTGATAGTTGACCTTGCTCTACCAAATAGTGATAAACTGTTTGTGTAGAAAGAATATTATGGTTTGAGACTTTTAAATAAGTCTGTGAATATATTAGGAATCCTTTAAGTATACTTGTATTTGCTGATTTCAAGTGGTAAATATACACAGGGCATCGGAATTCTAACACAGGGCTGCCGGAATTAGTCTCACAATATGCCTAATTTAGTCACACACAGCATCTGAATTCAGGGATTTTGTAGGTTTGAATTCTAAAGGCTTTTAAATAAATATGGCAACAGTTTGTGACATTTCATTGTTGCTGCGCGTAGTGTGGTGTTTTGAGTGACATTAACTGATGTAAACCAATCAGAACTCGAGTTGCACATATGGTGATCTATTTATAGCCATTCATTTCTTGCTACGTCCTCAATGTGTTGGAATATACTGCGTTTACCCTACATTACATTAAAATGATTACATTCTGTATGATATTTGGGCTGGAATGAATGATCAAGCAATGGCCAATGGGGATTGTGGAAGTTGAAAATTTTATGAAATGACATGTTTGAAAATTGCAAACCGTGATTTTTTCAATCAAATAAAAATTGATGACATTCATGATTCAAGCAGCAAGATTTCATACCTACTGAAATTATATTATATTATAGCCGCAATATTTCAGAAAAAATAGGACTTTCCAGCCCTGTTTTAGCTAACCTAGCTATTCTTAATAAACTTCAAAATGCTATTGCATTGCTACAACCTTAAAGCTTAGAGATATAGGGTAAATGCGGTATATTCCGTCACATTAAGGACGCATCGAGAAATGAAAAACTATAAAAAAATAACCGTATGCGTTACTCAAGTTCTGTTTGCTTTATGTGACTCTCAAAACACCGCACTACGTGTCAGCAACAACGAAACGTCACAAAGGGTTGCCATATTTATTTAAAAGCCTTAGAATGGAAACCTACCAAATCCCTATATTCCATCACTTTGTGGCAATATTCGGCACGTGGTGAGGCGTATTCCGTCCGCGCTTCAAATTCTACTGATACGTAATGCCGTCATCCACGTGTTCAAATTCCTTTCGCTGTGTGAGGCTGTGAGCTGTATTGGAATACAACACGGCTTTGAATTAGAACACAAATGAATATTGAACACTACTTAATTACGCTTTTAATTAACAACTATTAAGCTTTTAATTAAGCAAATTTTAATTTTTGTACACAGCTTGGAACGATCTGTGTGTGTCTAATTCAAGTTGTGACGGAATTAGTTTTCATGTGTCTAAATCCATTTCTCAACTTAATCATCTATTAATTTATTTACCACTTAAAATCAGCAAATACAAGTATACTTAAAGGATTCCTAATATATTCACAGACGTATTTAAAAGTCTCAAACCATAATATTCTTCCTATACCTACAAACAGTTATTCACTATTTGGTAGAGCAAGGTCAACTGTCAAATTTGACACATTTTTCGATGATCTTACTGGGTAGCGTGCATCAGGATGGAATTCTAATATTAACTGTTCATATATTATTCCCGATACACCTACACCAGTTTTTCGATACAACATTATTTCAGGCAAAAAAGAACTTCTTATAGGCTTAAAACACGTATGGGTATGCTAAGTTTCTATAAGGTAGGCTAACTCACTTGGAAATGTTGTGTGCCAGCAAGGCTGCAGGCGCAGCTTCCACTCAACAATTAAAATTATACAAAGTATTAGTTTGTTAAAGATTTGTCTCTTAATATGACTGCAAAGAAGTAAACTTAATAAAGTAATTACAGCTACCGTGACTACGCTGTCAAGCAGACTTTTCGATGATGCATACACTAAACACGCAATTCATGGGAGCGAGTGCGAGACTACATAGAGCAACAAAACAAGGCGCCCGGCATGCAACTGCAAAAGCAAATGACGATCGCGGCAGCGGCGGCACGGATCATAACGTTAATATAGTCAATGCAAGAGAATGATTAATTATGATATTTCTGATAGAGATTTGAAATATTTTCGGAAGCCTAAAACTATAACAAATTATTTTGTTACTTTGACAGGGTTGATTTCAAAATAAATATTTTAATGCAAATTCATGAAAAATGTTTAAAATAAATTGAATAATGTTCATTTATATCTATAGGTGGGAGTAATTTGAGTAAACAACTACGAATCGATTTATTATCCTTTAAATAAGAATCTTTGCATTGAAACTTCTGGAAGATGTGTCCACCGCAATATTTGTACAGTGGTATCAAGAGTCAAAGCCCTCAACTGATCGTTGGATGGCTGCAAATATGTCGCATCATTCTACCTATTACAGTCAATAGAACCTAAATAAACTCTGTTCATCGAAAAGCTTATGTACCAAACATACGTGGTAGTACAATAAATTTTGAGATCTCCAGTCAAGTCATGAGATTTAAATTCATACTCATAGGTGATCTTGAATTTCTGCACTGCGTTCAATTAAGCAATTTGTAAAATCATAAATTTCAAATAGGTACCAACTTTTTCAATTTAATTCTGAATGAGTCGCGTCTGTTGAATTCTAATAGGGATCATTAATTTTTGCATCGTATTTCTGAAAATCAAGTATTGCATTTCTTTTAAATTAAAAACATTCTTTTACATAAAAAAAAAGATTTTTTTCTTACAGCTTCTTTGATAATTGATGATCTCACTCGTATAACTTAACACGTTTCCTGCGACGGCTCTTTTGCTGCTATGCACGACACCTGCAATGTGACCCACCGGTGGGTCCCAGTCTTCTTTCCATTGTTGCGATTGTGGGTCCCATCGCATTACAAGAAAAACATTATCTTCAGATGCGATGGGACCCACCCGTGGGTCACTGTTTTTCTTACCTAATCAAGCTGTAACATATGAGAATAAAACTCTGACAACCTCACTCCGAGCTATCTCAGATGCAACTGAAGTTATCGTACATATACCACCGTCGCAACAGGAGAATAGCATCGATATTGGCCGTCGCCGTACACGTAACACAGTGGTGACCCACCGGTGGGTCACATCGCAGGAAACGTGTTAATATTTTAAATTTAATGATTTTGTCATTTCGATGACTAAACTTTCTTTGGTTCATTAAAATAAAATAATTACTGCTTATAAACAACCAAAGTTTTCTAAAAGACACAAGACGTTCGAAAACTCCCCATGGGAGACAAAATCATTCAGGATTTGTAGTGAAGTGAAGTTATTAAGACAAATTCGACATTATAGGGCAAAAACATGAATAATTTTGTATTTAGAAGCGTATCAATTGGTGTTTAAATTTTGAAACAATTTTCCATCATTTAAATGTTACTGTGAAATGTGGATCAAATCTATTTATTATGAAATTGAACTTTACAAGACCAAAACAAGGTGTCTGACACCATCTTGTCTAATGTCAACAGTCAACACAAAGTTGCCATACACCGTGAAAGATTAGCAGTTTATCCCATCATTCTGTGTGGATTCGAGAACTTTGTTGGTATTGGTGAAATCGTGAGAATTTTCTGCGAAAGTTTACGTAATTTTTATTTTTTATTTTGGAACATATTCATTACAAAATTTGTCGATACGGATACACGACTAGTGATGTATTGGAGGGAAGAGTCACCTACTTTTTATCGGTTTTCGAACCACACGCAAGCGAGTTAGAGGAAGTGCAGCTGTCCGGGTGTCCGCACCCACAGTTTCTGACGAGCTCAGTGTAAGAGTATGAGTAATTGAGTATCAATTGTCACTTCGGTGGAAGGTGTAAGGTGGTAAATTTTTCGATACATTTTCTTTTGTTAACATGATAATATATTACCTATACAGAATTCCATACTGGGCCGTGCATCGTCTCTCTTTGGATCTCAATATTTTCCTGCTAGATGGCCAAGACCTAGTGTTTGGGCAGTAGTTTGACTTTGACACGCAAATGTATGATGTCACCATTTCAACCATCAACAAACACATGGAACTACAACAAAGCTTAATATAAAAAAAACTAAAGAGGTGACGGAATTACCCACGATGTTGGAATATACCGCGTTTACCCTATAAAGGCCTATATTACAACTCCTTTTTTTATCAAAATAATTATAAATATTTTGATGAAAATCTATTGCAATTTCCATACATTTTCTTTTCTTGACAAATTCTAAGCAAGTAGGAAATTAGAATTTCAGCAACTCAAATTGGAAGGTTTTCAATGGAATTAGACCCTACACTCAGGACTTATTTTTATTCCTAGATTAGAACTTTTCAAGTTATGAATGTAATTTAGCAGCTCCCAAGTGCAAAGTGACAAGTTTTCTAGATATTTGGAAATCTTCCGGTCCGATCTTGCAGTTCTATTAACAATTACATAAGAGATAATTCATCGAGATTCTTTTATTCATTTGAAAATACCTACTTAAAGTTGGGTTTTGTGACAGCATAAGTCAAAATATTTAGTCAATCATGTCAACTCAATGGTCTTTAAATTTTCTCAACAACGATATCTCAAAAACTTACCAATAGATTTAACCAAAAATCTCGACGCATTCATCCTAGCTGCAATCATTTTAATGGCAAACTAGAAGAAACTTTAAGTGAAAAATATTTTTCACTTCGCAAAGACTGCCTCGCCTCAATCGCCTGTGACTGCCGTAAAATCCGAAATGATCTGTAAGAACCGTGCGAATGAACGCTAAAATAATAAAAATTACCCTAAAAGCACTAGCGTTCAGCAGATTGATACGTCGTGAGCCAAAAACCAAGGTAATTTACTGCGAACGCTGTCCAGAACATTTTTGTCTGCTCCATTTTTACGTTCGCACGCGAGTTCGCTGAAGTGTCGAATCGGTCTTAAACGCTAAATTTTGTCCTCCTTTGCATGCCTAACAAACTTAGCAAAATGTGTGAAATGAGAAATATCCGTATTATTGTATTAAATATATATTAGAAACTCTGTGTTTGCTCAATAGTGAAGAAATTTTAATCAAATTTCAGTATATTGCTAATTATTATGTCTATCAGTTGCTTGGGATTCTCAAGAGGACATGAACGGCAAAATTGAAGCTGAGATTTGGGGTTCGAGATCGCAAATAGCTCTTGAAATTCAGCTATGTCCCAATATACTGGAAGAAGAAATATAGGCCCACGACTTGAAGTGAACCATTGTATGGCAGTGGGTTCAAACACTTTGTGATAGAGTACCACTTTAAGGGATCGCATCATCGCACAGTCACCGCGTACCACCAACTAATCATAGCTAAATGTTAGACATCTAAGCTGTCATTAGACTGCTATCATAGCTGTATTTTGTCGCTAAAAATTTGCGCCTCAATTACGTAATTTGACTATGAACCACTGGGACTTAGCAGGTGGCACGTGGTACAGTTGCAAAACTATTTCTATGATATCGAAGTCAGTATTAAGCAGTATTTAAAAAGTTTGGGAAGCAAGAAAGGCTAACTAATAATCGTTCATGAACCCGAAAGTTCTAACGATCCACAGTACCCGTGTTCCACTATTCACTATTGGTACCTATACCATAGATAAGAATCCACTCACTTAGACATTGAAAATAAATGTGCGAATTTGGACCAAACAAAAGTCAAATGAATGAAGTAACAAAAAGGTACATGAAATAAATTGAACAATCATTTGAAGTGACGATAAGTGAACACTAAATTCATTCGCCTCTGAAACTTTTTTCAGGTGAAATGGCGACGTATAACGTAGTCTCTTGTAGAAGAAGAAATCATTATCGTCAACCATTGGAGTAGGGATGTTCATGGAGCTCATTGTCATAGAGCCGGTGGTATCGAAAAGCTTGTTAAAGATTTTGACATTGAAGAACTGACATCATGGCCTGGAAATTCTCCAGATCTGAACCTTTTCGAAAATTTATGGGCCTTCCTAAAACAAAAGGGTAAACACAAGCTCACTTCTACAAAGGACTTACATTACTTGACTTTCTTGAATGGAACTCTTCTGATATGAACATCATTCAGAATTTGGTTTCTAGAAAGCTTAAGAGAATAGAAAAGGTTCTTTGTAATTGGAGTCAGCACTGCAAACATTGATACCTAGAGGAAATTTGACATAGTTCGAATTTTTCGTGTGGGATTTCGTTCTTGGTAATGTTTTCTTTTTCGTTCAAGTTAAAAATAAATATTTGAGGTTTCCTGATTTTATTTTTTAGACTACAAAATTAATAATAAAAAATATCACTTGTTTTGCTTTGGCCACGATTGTGTGTTGGCCAAATAAAAGTTTTGGCCATGATTGTAAATACCGGGCATTTTATGCGTTTTGTCCTCTTCTTATTTTTCGTGGTTTTAAAAAGCATTACGAAATTTGGTTTTGGGTCAGTAGAAATACGCACCGAAAGATAAGCTAATGCCACACAGATTATGAATGTGATCTAAGCCTGAAAATAAATAGCCTCAAATTCAACTCTTTGAATTGGAAAATCTGTAGAAATGAAGTTTCTTCATGAAGTTAACACTTCAATTGATATTTGAGGCAAATTATACAACAGATTTAATTATGGATATGATGATCGTTGTTTTCGCTGAGCCGGTCTAAATGTCGTCAGTTTTCCTGGCTTATAAGTAGCAAAGTAGTTATCACTACACCTGTCTCAGGCGTCTCAAGTAGAGCTAAGACCGCTTTACGATAAGCAAGATACGAGAAACTTATCGCTCTCTCAGTACTGTTTCGGCGATCGTGGAGTGCTCGTCGGGAAGTTTTAGTGAGCCATACATTCTTTTAGTTGGTTGCATGTAAAAGTAAGTTTTGACATCTTCTTTAAATCGATTTTAACAGTCAAGGCTTGTGGAGTATGCTCTTGCCGCAAAAGGTTCATTTTTTATTCCATATATAGGAAGAATTTCAGAATGCTTACGGCAGTACGGTGAGTGATTAATCATAACAACTCAACGCTTGACTCTTATTGAAATTTTGGTACCTGCCAAGCTGCGTTCACTTTTCACCAAATATATTGAATTCGTCGACATTTTTGTGTAGAAAATCTAATAATAATTTTAATAAATTAAAATTGTTCAGGAGCTTAAGAATATTTTATGAGGGCTTCAGCCCACTAAAATGGGCCCATCGACCCCACTGATACTGCATGTACACTTCAGCCATATTCTTTTATCCCTTAATAATCCCTTCTCAACCCTTAATCACTTGAGCTGCATATCTGATTTATTTTAATGTACAACGAGGCCGCTGCTCAATGGATTGTTTCCTACTAAAACGCTGCTTGCTATTTGACATGAACTTCCTCGTACGCCACTGCTTTTGAATCTCGATGCTGACTCCCACAGCTGCCAGCCAATTGTACTTCACATTGAGATTCATGGACTCATAGATCACAAATAATTTCAAGTGAATTATCCTTCGCAATATATGCTGGGACAACGTGTTTAAGGCAGCCTGTTGTGTCAGTCCTGCGACAGAGAGAGGGTGGCGGCGACCGCGTGGTGTGACCGTGTGACTAGCACGCAGCCTGCCTGGGCTACCACTGTCAGTGTACGCACAGCTGTGCTCCTGTCAGTTGTGTGTCTGAGTTGCTGTGTAATTGCAGTGCAATTATGCACTACCCTCGTTGTGTTACACACGCTTGTTGTTAGTTATTGTAGCAACGAATGTGAATTGAGATTACTGATATAGCCTGTGTTACCTGCCCTGTGAATTAAAGCGACTAGACAATCTTCGTCGACCCTTCATGCCAAGTCACACTAATAAAATGCTACTGTTTGACCTTTTCATTATTGAAAATATTCATTTAGAACGAAGTTATGTGCCAATCATATAATGACTGCATGTAATTGAATAATAGAGTGAATAACTGAACGGTACTATAATGTTTGTGGGATAATTGTCAGGGAGACGAGATTGTTTAGAAATATTCAGTAGCAGCTGACACAAGACTCGTCATTAATCTTCAAAAGCTTTGAGAAATTCAGAAATTGCAATCCTTATTGATTAGTAGATTAAACAACAATCGATTTTTTCACAATTTGAAACTTTTATGAACATCCGAATTTCGCGGCTCCTACTTGGAAGATTTCAACCCCAGAAAAAATTCATCCTCTTGGATTTACGTGACACTTTTTCAAGGTCATGACTATGGTTAAGGAGAAACATCTGATAGAAGGAGAGAGTCAATTCGTCAATTGATTATTAGAACGACATGACAAAAGAGCGATCGCTTACAAAAATCATTAAATATGTAAGTTTGTTTAAATAATGTATCAGAATTGAGTTAAAGGAGTTTCAAACTTTGATTTGTGATTTTTGCTAACTGCTAGAAGCCGTTAAGCAGAAAAGAATGACGCAGTAGACCGTCTGTGCGCTACTACCACCACAACAGCACCAGGTGGCAGATTTGGGTCGCGCTCCAGCCACCGACCCATAACCTTGTCCAGTTTGTCCCGTAACTTCCGTACATTTTCAGGTTGTATTGTATACAGACCAAAGTCTACGGTTGAATATTACAAACACTCCAAATAGGAACTAATATAGACGTTTACTTTGGGTTTTCTATTTGAATACTCGATAGCTTGTAAATTTTTACTGCAGCGCAGATTAATTACTTTAATTAAATAGCTTTTATTATGATAATGAACTTACAAGTTACCATTTAATAATTGTTACGAATAATTGTAATTTGTGCGGATGTCATTAAGTATCATACTTACCTTTAAAACTCATTGCATGCCGTCGTTTTGAGGACGCATTTCACCGCGATTATAATTCAAGACGACCACTTATGTTTAATTGGCGTCTATGTCTCAAGATAATAGCATAATAAAGTTTTTTCCTCAGAAGCTGGGGTCTAAACTCACTCTTAGGAGTACATAATTGCAGATCATAATTCGAAACCTTGAACTAATAATTTAAGTGGAAATTTTGTGACCATCATGAAAGATCAACCAACGAAAGCCGGCCAGTCAAAGGTAAGAAAATGACATTTCAGCGTAGCGGAGGTACACGTTTCTAACACACGGTTTCCTTATGGAATGGCAGAAAGATTTGCTGGGCCTTTTCGACTATTAGGTAATAACTTCAAGGATGAATTGTAACATTTTTGCCAAATCATTTATTAGCATTCAATGATTTGACCTTTTTAACATGTTATGTGAACTGATTTCTCTTCCTTTATTAAATTTCAAGTCGTAACTTTCTGCTATACGCATTCGCATTATGCTGACGTTTTTCCATTAATAGAAGATTGCTGATCGTCCAAACTCACTCGTTCCCTTCTGCTCCTGAAGCCATTGTATTGCACTAAACACCGTACTACATCGCACTATCATAGTACGTATGGTACTACATCGTAGTTTACTAACTGCAATCTTCCTGCTCGTGAAACCATCGTATTGCATTGAAAAATATCGTTCGTAGCGAACTGCAAACTTTTCGCTAGTTAAACTATCGTAGTGCACTTCTAACCCTCTGTTGTGCACGGCAGAACGAAATTCACTGCAGACCATCGCAGCACGCTGCAATCCACAATAGCGCACTGTAAACCATAGCAGTGCACTGCAAAACATCATGTTGCACTGTAAACCATAGCAGTGCACTGCAAAACATCATGTTGCACTGTAAACCATANCAAAACATCGTGTTGCACTGTAAATGATAGAAGTGCACTGCAAAACATCATGTTGCACTGTAAATGATAGAAATGCACTGCAAAACATCGTGTTGCACTGTACACCATAGAAGTGCAGTGTAAAACATCATGCTGCGTGCTTTGTAAACCGTAGAAGTGCACTGCAAGACATCATATTGCACTGTACACCATAGAAGTGCACTGCAAACCATGGAACTGCACTACAAACTTTCCTCCAGCCTAGCGTGATCCGTGAAGGCACAGCGTCTAAAATGGCCATCTGTCGGAGAAACTGATGCGTTCTCAATTTTTCGTATACAAAGAATTGTTTTCCCCATCAATTACAAATTTTCTTCGCTGGAATGACAAATTTGACAGTTTTATTGAATTAAAAGTGATGGTGCAAATTATTAGGGGGATAAAGCTTGGGATCAAGCAACTTTTAAGACGAAGTTTTCGATTAATTTGCAAGAAAAATGTTTATATGATCCTATATACTATCTCACCTGATGTTCGTTTCGTACAGGCGTTATCTCAAGCATGGTTACTGGAATGTGTCACGATTGATTACGCCCAATCGAAACACGCATTTTATTAAGTATTAGTCTTTAAATTTTGAGAGAAGTTATGTGTCTCTGAAGGACGAAATAACGTGTCTCCTTCATCAGTGTAATAATTTGTTGTTATGGCAAAATAGCGGGTATCCCGACATTACGGTAGCAACTGTATTGCGGATCGGAGCTTACCAGGAATTAGTTATTTTATGTATCAGGGTTGTTGTCTGTAAGCTACCATCCTCGTCGGACGTTTCTCTCTGATCTATGCTACGGACAAACTGATTGCTGTTACTTCAATAAAGTACTAATTGGCAGCGCATGATCTGTATCTATGGATATGTTATGGCTGAGGTGGAGAACCAACTGAAAGTCTGCAATCACCCCTGACCCATATAGGATATGCGGTCCTCTTTTGCATTATCATCTCATGCAATAAATTCATTCATAATTCCCAAGGTTTTTGGCTATGTTACCCACTTCAAAAACGATCTAGTGCCTTGATCGATCACGATATATCATGTCGATTTTCATTGTGATTATTCATGAATGAAGTTTCCACACACAGTGATGCAGCAGTTGACCTTTCGCGTAGAGCAGCTTTCACGGATGCGCGTGCAATGATTTTGCAAGGCGGTTCTGAGTGACAGTATTCCATACATGTCACCCGCTTTAAGCCTAACTCTAATAAACTCTTTTAAACTGTTTAATATAATATATTTTTATCTGCCTGTCACGTTTTTACCAACAAAAAGCGCCAAGAAATATTTAGTTAAGAATGTCCTGAGGAATTGCTTCGGACCGACAAACTTGGAACTGAAATTTTTGCTGGTCTTTCGCTGAAGTTTAAATTTAAAATGTGAATAATGAAGTGTTTCACGTCGAGCATAAAAGGGCACGCTGCTGTTTGCTCGTCGCTTCCCTGCACCACCGGAAGGACGGATGACCAACAACGGAAGTTGCTCCATGCGCGGCTATAGCTCAGCCGTTCTAGCCAGCATCGAATGTTCTAAAACATACCAATCTCTCCTAGCGCATGTTAATTTTAATCATCCATTGTTTTTTTTTCTGTGCGTGTTAGTCTCGATGGGCGGTTTGACAAGCAGTGCATTCAGATGCTATTAACTGAAGTGAGCCTTTAAAAATTTAGTTAAGAGGACCGTGAAAATGTATTGTATTGTTTGGTTGCACGTATAGTTCAAATGATGAAAATTCGAGCAGTATTTAGAGCAAACTCGTGTATCTAGATGATGTTTGACTGGTACGATCATTTGAGGTACCGAGCCAGCGAGTTGCAGCAACCCTACACAGGGAGAAACAAGTCGTTTTCTAACTGTCACCACAGCAGCGGTCCGTTATGAACCGCTCAACCAAGAGCCTTAATATTGTCTCGAAAATTCTCCACGCCATCCAAGGTTACTTTTTTTCGCTTAAAAAATTGGCTCATTAGATTCCGGTTTCGATGATTACTTTTTTGACTGTCAGAAACCACTGGAATTAGTGGAATTACTGTGGAAACCACAGTAGCTACATTTGCCAGTCGAAATTTGGTCAGTTCAATGCAATCTTCACTGACAAATTGACCATGATTCGCAGCTTCTTTGGAAAGGTTTATTTTCAAGCCTTTAATATATAAGAATATTCCGATTCCTCATGCAATGTTTCGTTTTGTGCTAATCGTTCTAAAAATATGTTGATTTGTTTAATGAGGATATCATATCATTATGCCTCAGCGAACCTTATATCAACAGCTGTGTGAAATATCTATATTGCTTGTGTCTGAGCTTAACTTCTGTCTTTATATATTTTCTTTGACGACCGTTGTTTTTCTCACCCCATAAGTGCCCAGAAATTATGAATTGAAGACACAAATAGTAGAGATGTGAAGTTACTTAGGATAAAGTTATATCAAGTCTGTTGCTGCATTAATATATAATCGGTTCAATTTCATTCGATATCCGCTATTATTTTTACGAAACGGTCTCTTTTATTGAGCCTTTAGAGTTTAGTTCATGCACGACGCTTACACGAGGCAAAATGACAATATCTTCCAGAGCAGCCTAGGTGTTCATTACATTCATTTCCTTTAAAGGGAATTGACACTTGGATTGTCATTTTCATTACGCTTTGTTGCCATAAATTGTCTTACTTATTCACAGGCATTTCTTAAACGGTAGAATCGTCCTGTCGTTCCACATTACTTTTTTATGTTGTGGTTGCATCTATTGCGATATTATTGAGTATTAACACAATTTCCAAGTGAATACGTCAGATATTTTTTAGGAGGTGCATAGCCGGCTGCCGTCTTTTGTTCTCGCAATGAAGGCGCAGGAATGGTAGCTGAAGGTAGCCGGCATAACAGATCCCGACGCTCCGTGCCTCTGCATGAGCTCCGCGCTCAGCACGCTACCTACTGGTCCACCGGTCGGCTATTTTCATGAGGTTGGTTACTCTGTCTAAACGACTCTCCATTATATTTCGTCTCGTGGTATTCGTGTTTCGCTTACTTATGCGCGTGTTTACGATAAAAATTTCACTAAAAAATTCTCCTAAGCTACTTACGAAAGATACAATCAATGACCTGAAAGTCAGCTGGAAAAACGAGGCTAAAAGCATCTGCTGCGGCCGGCATCGACATCTAACCTGAAAATTCCTTAGTCACATTCAAATATCTTCTCACAACTTACTAAAAATTTTTTGAGTGTGTGAACATCTCGGTGCGCTCTTTTCTTGTATTCCAGTGGAATTTGATTTACATATTTGCTCTTCGTCTCTATCTCTTTAAACCCTTTCTAAAAAAAAATTTCTAGGAGCTGATGGGTTGCCGTCTAATGTCTTCCCGCGATTGCATGCGAGGAAAGTGATCACCTAACCGCCACGCTCGGGTGACATTTGCGTGCACCTCTTGATCGTAGTGGCGAGGATCAGTTCTTTCCGCTCTGGATAACTTGATCGCACTGCCTTACTTCCTGTTGTGTCATGATCGACTGCATCTTCACCAAACGCGTCGCTTTATTGTCGTGCTCAATGATGTAAACATTCATTTACTTGAAGATTGCAGCTTTTACTTAAGAGTAACGGAGTAATAGAATTAAAATTTAAATTGAGATCGCCATTAGTATTTATATACACTATATTTAAGCATACATTTCACTGCATGTAAACTTTTATTTATTTCCAGTGAATGCTGTAATTTTTAAAAAGTAGTGCTTGAATTGATGGTTCGCAAGTCACGTTAACTTTGACTGAAGGCAGGACTTCTTGCATGCAACTGCTTCATCAATTCGAGAATCACGCAAATCGGCGCGAAGGAAATGGCTTTGATTGCCGCACAAAACTGCCTTTAGTTCTCTGAGCGTGGATCGACTGTACAGTGTACATAACCTTAATATGAATGGTGAGAGAATGTTACACAAGCAGCGCATGTATGCCAATGTACTCATCTTTCTCATCCATCACCAGGCTACATGCAGCTTTGCCTATTTCTAGAGAAAGTGCTCATAGTTCACTGATAGGAAAGCGACAATACCGCATCACAATTTTGAGAACTAACCTAGGTTTCATGCATCTAGGCTGAAATTCTAGGGAGCAGAGCATTAAGAAGAAATTAAGCAGAATTAGAAATAAAGAAAAATTATTCTTAAATATTGTATCGTGATCTCATGACGTTGCGTATGGCCCACTCATTTGGTGACCTCAATGACCTCTCACGTGCGCGGGGTACGCGTCTGGCGGCCAGTGAAAGGTGGCGTGACATTGCTTGGTCCTGACGGCGGCTAGTGCCTCCATTGCGTCATGCCAACTCTTGCTAGCCTGCATCATAACTCATAGACGTTATTTCTTTACATTTTTTGCAATTGTAGATTTATTGCTGAATAATATTTAATTTCTTTCATTTGTCATTATGTTAACGTCACTTTGGCGCCGAACAAAACTTTTGGCTGTTGCTTGAAATTGAATTAAAAAAAAAGAATGCGCGCAAACTGTGATTTGACGTAGCTTGTCATCTGTGAACATTTATATCATGAGTAACAATTTAACAATTTCTGAGCGCATAGACAATTCTAGAGAAAGTGCATATTTTTATATTCGCATCACGTGTCAGCCACGAGCTGTAAAGGAGCACGTGTCCCTGAGATGAATTTCGAGGTGAAGTCCTTGAGTGCAACAAGCGTACAAACATTCCAATCATATTTACGCCATGTGTTATTTCCTTTCCAAACGACGTGCAAAAATTGAAAGGCTGTCAATATATTGTAGAATTGTCTGGAAATTCTCGATTGTACTCATTAGATGTTTATGTTGCAAAATTATTGAAATAGATAAAGCAGTTTGAGCGCAAAAATTAAGTCGATATTCATTGCTCTTGCAATTTAATTCCTCTAAAATTATATAATTTTTCATTAAACTTGCGCCAGCGTATAATACTTTTATTCGCCAGATCGTTTCTTTCATGCACATCGAGGGTGCGACGAGATACCCATTCCTGCACAATACCCATTTGTGCAACTTAGATTCCATGCAATTGAGAGACTAGATGTTTTGGTATATGTTTTAGATGCGCGTGTTGACGATAGATTTGTTTGTTGTAGGTTGAGACGTCTTCGCAGCCCCCCAACCCTGACAAGATGAGCGCTGACGCTACCACAAGTGAAACTAAGACAGGTGCGAGTAACAAGCAAGACCCTATAACTACATACAATTTTATCCTTTTGTAAATTAATTATTATTGAAAATTGATTATAATTAAGTTTTGTAGCAAGCAATGAATTAGGATTAAAAAAGAAATCCCGTAATTGTTCTCAAAATATGCCTGCAGCAAGCGTGAGCTGATGCTGTACAAACTATCATCTGCAAGGCGCACAAAGTAAATTCAAAGCACGGGATCTGTACTTCAAAGTCAATAAATATCTACACCCAATTACTGTTCAGTATTCATCGCCAAAAAATGTATATTTATGCTAATTGTCACTAATTTTCATTTGCTTACAATATATACTCATAAATAAAAATACATATTTTTACACACATAATGAATATAAACTCATAGCTATAACTAGAAAAGAACATGATAACTGTTATTTTCCCATTTATTCGCATATCTTAAATTATTTGCGATATTCTGACTTGTTTCTCTCGCATGATTCAGCGAAGGTTTTAAAAGGATTTCTTTACGAATATCATTTGGTAATAAATGCGTACATTTTTTAACAACTATCAATACAACCGTCGCATTTCATATTTCTGACAGAGAAAAAGGCGAAGGAACCGCCGGCCGCTGCTGAGGCCAGCACCAACAAACCAACCATCAAGTTCCCTCAGACTTTCGAAGTCAAGTACCTCGGCAAGAGGGAAACTGGTGGTCTATGGGGCATCAAGGTGATCATTCATGCATATATCGCTTAAGTTTGTGGTAAGGTAAAGCCTATATCGGCCTTACAGTTATCTTTTCTATTCTGGTAACTTATCGATTAATCCGGCGGCTATAGGAGATGAGTGGAACTCAGTCTTTCGCACGATATTAGCCGTTGTTTCAGTAAGTGTTTATTGCAAATACATGCTCTAGAATTTCAGAGATTTTTTTTAATAGAATAGGATTAATGTCTTTATTCATGGCTCATTCGAGTCCAATAATAGGCTCTTGAAAAATAACTCGCTTAAACTTCCATCTAATTTGTGCAGGTGAATTTAGTTCAGTTCAGAAAACATTACTATATTACTTTCAGAAAACATTAAAATTCAACTCGATTCTTCCTTGCCATTTTTCCAATCAACACTGAAATTGGTTTAAAGTGACTCATGATAACGCCCGTCAGCTCGACCTAATTCTTGACCGAGAAAATCATGGCCGCAATGTTGCAAGACGAGCCAGCTTTACGACCCGAGTCAACAATAGTGGGCATTGACCTTTGCTCTATAAAATTAATTTACTCATAAATTATTAAAGTTTGAAGAAATGATATAAAATAATTGTTTGTAATTATACTGCTAAGCCCTTATACCTTCATATTCTTTACAAAATGATTTAAACTAAGTGTTATAGCTTCAAGGGGCCTAGGTGCCCCGAATATCTTGTTATACACAAGTATCTGTCATCCACGTATACGTATATATCATCGTTCACTAATTGTATTTATGCTTTTAACTATTATGAAGTACAATTTTGCATTCATTATTGCCCATGGTAATTTAAACTTGACATATCGGTTGCAGCAGTCGCTAGATTTTTGTTGGTGACGCAACGTATTCAATAACACGTGCCAGCTTAACATTGAGGTGGAATATATAAAATTAATCCTACTCTTTTGATGATTTTTGTTGCTATTCGCATTGAGCAGCACACCAGACGGCCAGTCGACGAGATGGTTGAGAGTGCAAAGTCACCTAAAGCGGGCCAGACTTTGCCATTTCTTCACCTTGAAGTCAGCGAAAAAGGGGTCAACATCACCGGCGCGCCAAACAATCTGAATAAAAACTTTGTTGCCGGATTCCATCCCATAGAAACAATAAGGTGACAACTCGTACGCATTTCACTAATTATAAGTAGCCTGATGCATTCTATAATTTTCTGTAGTTAAGAACAAATTCGGCCGAATTGATATTTCTTAATGAAAGATTTAATGAATAGAAGTTTAGTTCATTTCATCCCTTCCAGCTACGGCGTACAAGACCTGATTTACACACGCGTGTTTGCGATGATAGTCGTGGATGACAGCTCGTCGAACCCTCACGTCAACCGCCATCCCTTCCACGTGTACGCCTTCGTGTGCGACTCCCGCCACAACGCTCGTCACCTAACCTTCTCCCTCGCACAGGCCTTCCAGCAGTTCTCTTCAGTGGTGCGTAATGTTGTGACACTTCAATTGAGTATAGTTTACGATTTTTAGTTACATTTTTAATCTTAAGTCACGGAAGTTTAAAAATTGGCGACAGGACTAACTTGGCCTATTCTTCTGCACCGACAGTACTATAGCGTCATGTGCACACTTTTTATGTCATTAACTTGCAGCTACCTTGGCCTAGTGGCCATTTATATACAGCTGCAAAACTTGCTCGGCCTTTCGAACATTCAAGTGAGTACTTCCCTAGTAATTCAGATATTCAAGTGACTGTTTCCTCACATCATGAGCATAGAAGTGACTTCTTCCGCGCAAAATTCGTCAATGACATTGGGCACCTCAATTCTCTTCATTTGTTTCCTCATTTATCTGTGACAGTCTTTAGTGACGGCTTCCACTCTAAATTAAGTTCTTAGAGGTCAATTCATTGCCTTTTGTTGGATAAATATTGATACCAACATAAACAATAGTATTTATAATTAAGTTTGATGTACTTGTCATTACTATTTTGATTGATTTTCACATGCTCAGGTGAAGGACAACCCCAACAAAATCAAGAAGTTCGCAATTGATCTACGATCTCCCGAGGAGAAGGAGGCGGACCTCAAAGAGCCAGATTCTGAGGCCTAACGAATGCTTAGAGTGAACTGCTCATTTTGATAGTTTGAAGGTAACATACATAGCAAGTTTGGGTATAGTTTCTACCCGTTCACAGACGGCTTTGCGACATGGTTGAATTAATACATATATTAATTCAACCTTGGCTATGCGATACCAGATATACGGATCTACAGAAACAAACGGCATAAACGTGAGCGTAGGCCACTTCAACGTCTATAACTCTATATGATTAAAGATCTTCAAGCTTCATTTAGGACGACATGCAAGCTGCAAGTTTCAACTTTTAGTTTCCTTGTCACAGCGTATAGTATACTAACGAATATGGAAGTTGCAATTTATAAATTTACTCGACCATTTAGATTCAGAAAGAAATTTTCAGTACGTTCAAGCATTCCAGCTCATCGTCTTTCTGCAACCGAGGCGTAAGATTTTGAATCGCTTAATTATTTTCTTTGATATCTTCAATCCAAATAAAAAGCAAGCATTCTCAGGTATGCATAAATACCATTTTTTTCTAAAGACTATATAAATTTACAGACACCCGCACGACGTTCTCAACCTATTTCAGTTTTCTCTGATGTAAAGTTCATATTCGACGCTCGTTGCTCTCTCATTTGACTACATTCTATTTATAAGTTATCTCGTTCAGCGAACAATCATATCTACAAGGCTGTTTATATCAGATAATATAATTATTCAATAGATATACTGCAACGTTTTTTGCCGTTGCTAGTATAAAACGGATAGTATATTAAACTAAGACGATACAAATGAAATTATTCTGTGCCACGCACCGCTATAAATACTATCAATAATGGCCTTCTTCAAGATTTTGTAAAAAATGATGTGGATTTTAAGAGCCCAGCTGGAATGCATCTCTCGTAGCTTGATGCAACCAGAAATGCAATATCGCATATAATGGCTCACCAGGAGTTTATTGTGCAAAATTTTTAGTACTAGGTTTCAACTTCTTCAACCTAGTAAGGTTTCAACTTCTTTAGAAGTAGCTACAAACTTAATAGCGATGTTTAGTTGACCAAGTTGATTGAATGTTAGTCAACTGCTCTGAAATGTATTCTTTTAAATTTTTTTTACGGAATATATATTAAATATTTAACTTGCGTTTCAAATCATCAGCTGTTCAGAAATCAGGTGAAAGCATAAATGGAATAAGAGAGTATTACGAGGTTATGACATGAACTGAAAAAAGTTGGCCGATAACGGTAAGAAGAACTGGGGAGAAAAGCGCCGATGAACACCGCATAATTCCTAGGTCCATCATTACCAAGCACCATTCCGTGAACTGCTCGTATAACTCGAAAATTCGAAAATATTGCGTCAGCGACAAAACACGTAAAAAATACTGCAACATACGCGAGCAGAAATGAAAGGATCACTTCAGAATAACAGGAAAGAGAAAGTACGTTCATCATGAACCATATACTCCACACAACTGAGTACTTTTCATTCCTCACATATCAAAGTTGCCTGCAATAGAGCAAAAAGATTGCCAGACATGATGAGCTGATCTGCTTTGTAGGATCCACGAGTTTGTGCGAGCGGCTCCGCTTGGAGGCACAGTCAAAGGGTCAGGTACTCAGGAATCCGTTCCTTAGCAGTTGCAATCGTATTTTCCCAGTTTCACCAAGATCGTTCCATTGAATTCCTCGCTACAAAAAAACAGCTTAGAAATATTCAATATTCTTCTCGATGACATGATAAAATAGAACCTGACTTGTAAGAGAAAACATCATTTCTTCAAGAGAAAAATAATTCCCGACTTTTTGTCTAATTTTCATTTACGAGAAGGCAGAACTTGATAATTTTATGTAACATTTCTTGCATATGTTCTTATGTACGGCACTGCATTCTTCGGTACTAACAGAAAGAACAAAACCAGTAAGAAATCACGTCAGATGTAACACAAACTCGCGGAGAATTGCTAGGCTGTGCTCCTCGTCAAAGAAAATTCAAACGCGTCCGTGATTATAAAAAATAACGCCATAGTTGTACAAACCATACGAGTAGAACATTCTATACTCGCATCTAACACTCAAACTCGGACTAATATACCGGTAATGATAGAAAATTCGTACCAATTTCCATCGAGCCAACCGGCACTATGACTGTACGACTGATGAATGCGCCTTGTTGTCATAAAGCGAATCTTCGCTTCGACAATCAAACGATAGGGACGGCGCACCTTCCGTTTGTGACAAATTCTTACGCATTTAGTCAACCTTATCGCAAATAAAACCAGATGCAGACTCTTCAGATGCAGATTTTATTCGTTTCAGTAGATAAATAAATATTTATGAAAAGTCAACATTAGACTCTTTTAATATACGTGTATGAATTTATTTAGGCTGTATCGGTGTTTGAGGCAACAAAAAGGACCCGCTTAAATTCGCATCTCTAATAAGCAAAAAGATGAGCACTCAATTGTACAGCAAAAAGTGAACATGGCCAGTTTTTCGAGAATATCGTAACGTAACTTAAACGACGAAAGCTCACAGATGGAGATGTAAGTGAACCCGTTAATTTACGGCATTTTAGAGCAGCAAAAATGACCAACGCTAGTCTTATGAGGAACTCTTTACAACTACAATTGGACAGGTTAGAGGGCAGAACCACTGATTAAGCCAAGAAAAACCCAGGTAGTCGACAGGATAGAAGATGAACAAAGATATTGGTTCACTATTGAGTGATGCCGTCACCACTTTTGCCTCCCACGGTGAAGCCCAGCAGACCACTGTCAACTTTTTGGATTTTCTTCTTGCCTTTTTGCTTGCGGTTCTGAAAAGAAGCCATTGGTGCGGAATTTTTTCAATTGATGAAAAAAGCACATGAAGTTGCTCGTGTGAAGAAAACATATTTAGCTCTTTTCCGCAACTTCCAATGATTTCACATAATAATGGTTGTAAACGCAAAAAAAAAAAATAACAGAACAATTAGAAATTACGCTAACATGGTAACTTGCGTAATTATCTTGGGAATGAAATTGTGTTTTTCAGTAAGGTCAAATGTCAGAAGTGATTCCAACTTCCCGCAATTGAGGGAATTTTTTACGTGAAATTCATTGAACCAAGCGAGCCTCACCTTGGTTTCCTGGAAAGAATCCGATGCGGGATTGATGGCAGGTGCCGGGCCCAAGATGTTGTCGTGGGCCATGTTTTTCAGGCGCGTCGCGTTCAGCACAGCGCTACGACGCTCCAAATAAGCACGAGCAAACTCGCGAACATCGGCGTTGTCGCCCAAGTAGGAGCGGATGTAGTCGTGAACTTCGTACGGACTCTCAACGTCACGTAGGAAGGTGATGAAAGTTGGTACTGCAGTAAAGTAAAAACTCAATAATGAAATAATTTGAGAAAACAGCATTTAATAAATAAATATACTAGTAAAATTAATGAAACTGGATGCAGTATGGGGTTTAGGACGAGCGACATTAAAGGTTCATTAATAACGCGATAAAACCTTCAATAATTAGTAATTTTTGCCCACCGTCAATGCCTGAAGTAACCTTGAGCTTGGCAAGAATTGCGAAGCACCAGTCAGCGAGATCATCATCGGGGCCCCCAACGCCCTCCGAGAAGATTTTCTTGACCGCATCTTCATCTTTATTTTTCTTCTTTGAAGCTACTTTTGAAGCTAGGTTGGTACTTGATGTAGTGATCTGTTTGTTGTTGAGGTTTTGCTTGACGGTCGTCTTATTCTGTTTGTTGGCAACTGGTGGCTGAGCCAGAGGCGACTTGCTAGCACCAGGCTTAGCAGGAACACGCGTGGCAGCCACAGAAGCAGCAGTCTTGGCGCCTGGCTTCTCGCTGTTTACCGTGTCCCAGAAGCCGACTCCTGCACCGCACGAAACTATTAGTTGACTGTCAATACTTGCGAAACGTTTGAATCAACTTAATTGACCATAATAACACTTTTTCATTATTATTGGTAAAAGAAAGTTAAGACACGTGAGATATACAAAATCTCGCACATAACAGAAGCCGTTGTCGACCCACAGGAGAATGTAACTCAGGATTGACATCACTAAATTGATTCACGATCACTCAATTAAGTTATTGATAGTAGGCACAATTTCTTTCTTTCACGCATAACTGACAAAAAAGCTCGTGTATAGATTTGTTATGCGTTCTACAAGAAACAGGAAAGGACGCGAAGTTAAAGAGACCTAGGCGCTGGGTCAGAAAGAAATTACTTACCCGCGGACGCAGTTGTGTTGTTCCATGCAGATCCACCGCTGTTGCTCTCGTTCCAGTTCTGATGAATTATTAGCTTGAAAATCATAATTATACTTCGCAAAATTATTCAGAATTTGATAATAATAGAAACCAACAACTGAAAATGAGCATCCAAAGCTTATGGAGCTTCTTTTCAAATTTCCGAATGAGTTCATTAACAACGTAAAAACCTAATAGAATAAAAATGCGGAGTAATGTTTCTTACGGAAGTAAATAGATATCAAAATCAAAATTGATTCCCCATATGGATTACTTAACCAATTATCAAGTGCAAAGATGAAGTCAGAACACTCATTCTTGGAGGTAGAATCTTAGTTCATCACCAATGCCGTCTTTCCAACAAACTAAAATATTCGAAGAAAATGGTTATAATTTGATGATTAAATGATTCATTATATAATAAATTCAATATTCATTATGAAACATTTATTGAGATAAGTTATTCTTATAATATGAATAAACCCTGTTTCCATGTTAGAATAATCGTGCTAGATGACAATCGATCGCTGAATTTCTACCTTTCCGGAAATGTTGCCATTGGGGAGAGTAGGCGGCAGCGCGTTGTTGCTAGCTCGTGATGCCCACGAGAGCGGCTGGTTGCTGGCACCCCATGAGCGACTTCCTGCGCTGTTGGCACTCGGGTTGTTATGGGCATTGCCTTTGCTTTCCACCTGCTCGCGGGTCTGTCGCTGAACAGAAACACAATCTCGTCAATAAAAAGCATTTGAATTCTCTATACAATACAATAGCAATGAATGGCTTGGTTAAAAACTCGGTTACAATCTCATTATAGTCAGTAACTTTAAACGAAGATATTACAAAACAAGAGATATTTGCAGCTAACTTTTTTCATCTCCTTTTCTTCCTCGGCTTGTATCTGTAGTAAGCTTTTGACGCTGGAGCCACTGCCACCGTCTTGTTTATTGGCCCACTTAAGCATCATGGACGAGGACTTTTTCTTCTCTGCAGCTTCCCGAAGCATTTCTTGCTTACGAGCTGCTTCTTCTTCTTTTAGCAGTCGATCTCGTTCCTGGGTATTAGTAAAGGGTAATCAGGAACAAGACTGAATAAATAATTTAAGTTAGTAAGGAGATATAGAAAATAAAAAAAATTTCAGTAAAATTAAGGCCCTTTTAACCAATTAAGTTAGTTTCCTAACTTAAAAAAAAATAAATGTAACGTAGTATCATCACAGTAGTAGTCACCACTATCAAGGGAGTATTGTCATCTAACAAGCGGCGGAAGGTCTCATGTGACCAGCGCACTGATGCTAGCAAGAATAAAAGCTTAAAGCACTTGAAAGACGCTAAGGAAGGATAGGTGAACAAATAAAATCCAAATGCATCCTAAAAGGTTTCGCTAGCTCGCGACGGCGAGCGTTGTCCGAGCGTGAAAACAAAAATATATGAAAAAACTCTAATTTCAAACACATTTTAACAACTGGGAATTCTTTCCGATGCCACGAGCTCGGTACTGGGAGCACTTATGAACAGAAACCTCATAGGACTTCGAGGTACGACTAAAAGCAGTTAAAAAATGAGGATTACGCCTCAAACGAAGATCGTGGACTTTTATCTTGATATCTGAATACAGCTAATATTTTCTCAAATCATTACACTAAATTTCCATCTGAACATTTTCATGGTAGGTACCAAGTTACTGGAATGCAAACCCGATCACATGAGAGGAGCACTCACCAGCTTCTCTTTTTCTTGCTGAGCTTTTTGTATATGCACAAGTGATGGGGCTTTTTGCCCACCATTCGCTGTAGGAGTAGCAGACGCAGCTGCGTTGCCCCAGGCAGCTTGTTGCTGCTGCTGCTGTTGCTGTAAGCGAGCTGCCTCCTGCTGCTTAGCAATCTCTTCTTGCTCTATCATGTGCATGCGTTTTCGCTCCTCCTCTAAAGCAACGCGCCTCATCTCCTCCTGTTGCTGTTGTTGCTTGCGTAGTTGCTGCTCTCGCCTCCAGTAACAAATTTGATCCATCAATCTCTCAAATAAACATGGCCAATGCATGCATTTAAAAGCTTAATTACCAAAAAAACTCGCTACTTTGCATGCCAAGTGAATAATCTGTTTTGATTATTGTGATTGTTTTTCCACAAACAGCAAATGCATAAAAGAAGTTGCTTATAATTGCTGAATTTTCCAACCATTGCCGGCATGTGATGAGAATTTTCATAGCCGTACACATCTTACATAATTTCGTTCATTATTCATGCTGGTGACAATGCATCATGAACATGTCAAAACAATACCCCTAACAGATATTAGGTAGTAGCCAACCCAAAAACATCCATAAATTGAGAACACGCACCTTAGTGAACGCAATATCACGCCGCCTCGTAGTAACATTAATTTATATAATTTAAAAGAGATGACTAAGGTGATCCACTCACTTCTTTTCCTCCGCCTTTTTCTTGTTCTCCTCATCAATACGCCTTTTCTCTTCTTGCTTCCTGATAGCCTCTTCCTGTTTCAATTTCTTCTTTTTTTCTTCTTCCTTGCGCTTGGCTTCATTTGCCTGCATCAAACACAATTAAGGATTTTACTTTAATATTAGCCATTCAATTGCAACAATCAACATTCACTCCTACTTTCTACGTCAAACATAAAAATCCAGTCTCACACTACTTCCCACAAACCAATTAGAAGTACTACATCAATGAAGGTTGAAAAAAACGACGTACCTTCTTCTTCTGTTCTTCTTCCAGCTCTTTCTTCTTCTGTTCTTCAAGCTGCTTGTTTCGTTCCTCTTGTTTCTTATTGGCTGCTGTCTCCTCCTCTTTCTTTGATCTAAAAAAAGGATTTTGTTGATAGTTTTAAGAGTTATAAATGACAGCAAATTAATTCAACAAAAATTTCACATAAAAGGTCTTCATTAATAAAAACAGAGTTTATTTTATCTGTCCCAGCATTGCTTTCATATCTCTCATCACATATCTTTCAAATCTCTCATCACGTATCTTTAACATCTCTCATCGCATAAATTTCATTTCTCTCACCGCATATCTTTCCTCTTTTCCTCCTGTTTTTTGGCTTGAGGTCGTTTCTTGTCTACTTCAATAATTCCAGGCTCCGAAACTTCTGGCGTTGCTGCCTGAGTCTAATAATACAGAAATGTACCATAAATGTAAGGAATTAAATCAATCTAATAATTCTTTTTTCGTACCTTTTCGATGAACAAGCACAAAAATTACTATCCTCTTTATAGTAATTGTAAATAAGCTATTATCAATAATATTAAATATATAGTGATCAACAGATGTGACGGCAAAGCTACCTGTTCCTTTTGATGCATTTTTGTAAGTTGTTGCATAAAGGTTTGCAAGACATCTTCCTGCGGCTGGTGAGAAGCCGTCAATAATGTAGTAGTAGTAGCAGCAGCAGCGACAGCAGCAGCAGCAGCAGTAGCTCTGTTCTCTTCTGCAGGAGCTGGGGCGACGGGAAGCTGCGAGCTGAGAGCAGAGCTAGTAGAGGGGAGCTGCAGACCGCTGCTCAGTGATGAAGGAGTAATGATCTGCTGAGGAAGAGATGGCAAGGCAGGGAGAGCGCTGCTGCTGCTGCTGCTCACGTCCGACTGCAGTTTGAGCAAAAGTTGTTGCAGGGGGTTGGGCTGGGGCGTAAGTGCCGCTAAAGGTTCCATGGATGCAGAGAGGTCTGGCATAGTCAGAGGCGTGTTGAGGGGAGACGCGCTCTTCTGACTCAGACCCACCGAGCTCTGGAATTGCAAGTTAGCAATTAATCAAGTCTTCAAACATAAAAGCGCCACTTAACACTTGTGAATTAAAAAAATATTGGGTGTATTGGGTGATTTGTACGTAGGTATAAGATAGAAAAATATTATAAAGATGACAAAAAATCTATCAAAGGTTGATTGGAAATCACAACTATCTCACATAATGAGTTGCTGATTGAATATCATTCTGATGGCGGAAGGAACGTTGTGATCATCGGAAATTCCCGGAATCAAATATCATTTATCCACACTAAGCCGGTCTCAAATTACCAGCCCACTGCAGCTGACGACAGCAGCGCTGGTAATTTACAAAAAAAAAAAAACAGGTTGGCAGTAACAGACCACGTGCGCAAGAGCCAAAGAAGGAAAATTGGACAGAAGCCCTACTAACACAACTCAACCCCACAGTAAACATCGCATTCAGGAACGATCATTCAGAAACGATGCACATTGGAGCTTAAAATTCCACTAGACATCTGGTGGGAATCAGTATGCATTTCTGGGAAGTAGCATTCGGATTTTATTTCACATAGATATAGTGCACGACTACTTGACCAAACCACACACACCATTTGGTTCACTAGTTCTCTGATGGGGTCACGAGAGAGGCCCGAGTGCTGCGGTTCTGGCAGAGTTACAGGCAGAGGCTGGAAGTGAGGCGAGTGGCTACTTTCAGATGTCGAAGCTGCTGAATGGGTGGAATGTTGAGGCATGTGCTGCAGCTGTTGTACTATGTTACCAACATTGGCCGCAGTTGATGCAGCAATGATAGAAGCAGGCATGGAAGCGTTTAGTTGTAGAGCTTGAGCCACGTTGTTGTTCGTAACCTGCTGTTGCTGTAGACTGGGGGCGGCAGCTACGGCAGACAACGAGGTCTGCGACAACTGACGGTGCAGATGCTGTGGCAGGTTCAACAGAGATAAAGTAGCAGCGGACGAGGATGACGGATTGAGTAGAAATGAAGGGAGTGCAGGAGCAACAGGTTCAGATAACGGGATCAGGTTCATCCAGTGCTTCATAAAAAGGTTCTTTTGGTCCTCATTAGTAAGCAGGTCCCAGCCTTCCATAGCGCTTAGAGTGTTTATCAGTTGAGCCCGTCTGCGGACACAAGGAAGATGAAACTGAACTAGGCGGTTGCAACCTGATAAGGCAGTTATTTGGCTAATAAAAACATTCAAAGGCTAGTTACATCATGCTATCTGAATTCAGAAAGTTGATGAAGACAAAAATCCTACAGACTAAATAGTTGCACAAAAATTGTACCACTATTTTTTGCAACTTTTACATACCTATTACTGAACTGTTGATTAAATATTTGCATTTGCACATTATAAACGTTGTATGCTTGCTCATATGCTTCTTTTTCAGCAGCTTGTTTTTGAAGAACTTCTTTTTCAGCATCTTGTGGTATCTGAGGAGACTCCCGAAGCTTGGACATCTGCTCAACAAGCAAGATTTTACTAGTAAATGGGTACACATACAGCTATTCAAATTAAGTATGTGAAACTCAACCTACAGGTGCGCAGAACAGCCATTGTTGAGCATGGCAGTTCATCAACTCAACCACTCACTTTATTTCTCAAGTTAAAATCGTTGATTTTAGTTTAAGAAAATCGCGTTTCCAGCAAAAGTACAAAGATAATTTATGAATTTCATATCCCAATTGGAGGCATTAGAATATCACCTAAAATAATGACTTACGCTAGAGAACTAGATATCATGCATCGTAAGTAAACCTTTTTCCTTTACAAGCAATTTAGTCGAAATAGTCACAAAGTCTGGGACTGAAATCGGCGCGGTAGGATCAGTATCAACATCTTGTAACTAATATTAATAATTGAAAAACGACAAATCACCACCGGGTGAAAAGGTCGCTCGCATGTAGTAGGTAGATCCCCCACAAGAGGGAGACGAAAGGAAGTTGCAAGGAATCCCAACCCATTAAATCATACCTACAAATTAGACAGGTTTATCGAGGTAATCACTATTGACGTTGCATAGTGAGGAGAAAATATTACGCTTTGGTTTAGATAAAGACAAATTTATGGTAAACATATTTTACATTCATCACTCTAATGAAATCTCACCTTGAGAGGAGGAACTTGACGTCCAGAAGCAAAAGGTACTCTTCCAAAAACCATTTTAAGATCGCCCAGCTTTGCAAATTTGTCGTCACAGTCACGCCGCAAGAGAAGATCGTCACCGAAATAGCCACTCTCGTACCACGACGCCATTGTCATGGCTGAGAAGGGGCCTTGAACTTCTTGCTGTAGGAAAAGCATGATTTCCCGGCGTTGAATCAATAAGTGGAAATAGTTTTTGGGCGTGAAATCATTCAACTTTTGAAATGAAAGGGGGGACCGACAAGATGAGGCTGAACTTAAGATTAGATAATTGATTTATCTCGCGGCAGTTTTAGAAAATATTAATTGTTGATTCCCTATCAACTTTTGATCTAATTTATTCAACCATATCCTTTATATAACTCTGCAGGTTAATAGTATTAGTTAAAACAAGTAAAAGAGCAAGAAATAAATTAAATCTATGAAATTAGCTGCAACATTAGACAATTGCACAACTTGCAATCAAACAAAATGTATGGAATTACATCCCCGTATCACTGACCTGCGGATCTGTGTAGTACCACTGAGGGGCGTCGGCGGAAGTGTTATCAGCCAAAGGCAAGAAGCCTGCAGGCGGCGAGGGATTAAGGCGGCGCTGAGCATTGGCAGATAGGGGGTCACAAACCTTGGGTTCCTCGTCTACTAATTTGGCAACGAGATCATCGGCGTTGAGCGCCATGTGATCTAATTCAGGTTCTCGCAGTTTTTCCTCTTTACTGGAAGAGAGGGAAGGCTGAATAATATGACCAACTAAATTCCTTTGCGCACTGGGGAGTTGTCCGCCAACGCCTGAGCTCTCTGACGTATACAATCCACTAGAAACGGCAGGTTCACTTTTAGAATGTTCCAAGTGATTTACAGGTGGTCGTAGCTGGAGATTCGGGTTGACTTCTTCCGACGTTTCCCGGCGATGAGCACCAGCAAGTTTGTCCTCGGAGGCGCTCTTTCTTGTCCCAGGCAACTCCATCATGACTGGGGCAGGATTCGTTCCTTCAAGGTGAGCCTGGCTGCTTTTTTCCGAGCTGAGAGGAGAACTTGAGTCCTCATGACTGCTCCGGCTATCGCTTCGACTATCGTCCGCATAACCATTCATTAGAGGCCGTCCCTGCCTACTCTCGCCATGCACTTCTAATGCTTCTGACAACCGTTTCTGGGAATTAAAAAAATAAATAAAATTATCAGGGAATGAAAAAAAAATTAAATGATCAAATTATCCTTTTTTTCCAATTGAAACCACGCAGCAGCATAATCGCAAATTTTCGACAATATTACTTCAAGGCTAATCTAGATTCTCAAGATAGGGGCAGCTTCAAGTCAAGCAAAAGCTACGAGCCAGAGATATACCTATATAAAGTGACAACTAGAAGAGCTACGTACGATGAACTACGGTACTCACTTGCGGGTCATTTGAGTGGAGATTTTCGCCATCAGACGTAGTTCGAGACGCGATTGTGCGATGGAAACCGTTCACTATTGAGGATGCATCTTTATCTCTGTTGCTACGGGATGGATCTTTAGAACCACTGCTGTGCCCATCAGAGGAAACCAAGTCAGAGGCCAGTAAATCACCAGGTCCCATACTGCCGCTCTTGTGTCGAGCTCGTAAGCCTCCAGCCGTAGCAATAAAGCTATTGCTACTGCTAGAATAACTGCCGCCCGCACTAGAGTAAGTTGTGCCGCCTACAGAATAATGATTAGTGCTGCTGTAAGCGCTGCCCGAAAAGCCGTTACTGGCTCCATGATCGTCATCAGCACTGCTCCAAGAAGGAGTTTGGAACGCTCCACTGGCATCGAAGCTTCCTCCACGCGGTGCTTCGTGGCCGATATCCGTTGCCCTGTAATGTGAATTCACAACAACCTAAACGACTATTACTTTGGGTTATTCGAAGCTAAAGTTAGGAGTGAATTAAAAATGTAAAATAACTGCAACTAAAACCAGGATGCACCAGTAGTGGGTCAAGTAACATTTTTAGTCCTGTCAGTTAATAAAATGAACAAATAATTTTTCCAAGAGAAGATAAGAGAAAATTATCTCTACTATCAAGCCAAATGTAGTGAAATGGTGGAAATTTACTAAACGTAACAAAACCCTACTCACCATTCTGGAAGTCGGTCTTCCTCGCCCCAATTGCGTCGGTTATCCCAGGCTGGCCTGGTGCGCTGCTGCCCGCGTCCTCTCGACGCCCCGTAAGCATATCCCCCACCAAAGCCGCTCGTCTCCTCTCCACCATCCCGGGGCCGCCACCCGTTGCTGTTGCCTAAACGACTAGAGCCTGATGACATAGGCTACCGTTAGCCTCATACTTCACTAATTTCATACTAGAAGGAAACACCGAAATCCTACATCAACTTATTTCATATGACAGAATAAACTTTGCATTACTGCAAAAAAATATTACAACTAAGGGTGAACTTCTTGTTCAACTATCTTAGAATTGGTTTCAAGCTCCAAAATAGAGAAACTACTAATCATGATGAATGTCCGAGTAACACTTGCATGTTCTTTTGAATATTTGACGTACCCCACTTGTCAGACTGTGGCCGGGGGCCCAAGGCTGAGCTACTCAAGGAACTGGAGGAGCGCCATTGCTCCTGCAGCCCCGTCACGTCTCCAGAGCCTGAACTCAGGTCACGATTACGCCAGTTTTCAGTGGAGGCTCGACTCTGCTCTTTGCGGGGGCTTGAAGCTCCCCCACGATCCTCGCCTGCAACAAGATTAGATTTTATAACTCCAATTTAACAAGCAAATCATGATTTTTTTTTTTAGTCTTTAAAGAAATTTTGGACTTAGTTGTACTGCCCATTCAACACTAATAGAAGACTGCCTTAGAGCAAATAATGAATATGAAAAACTGTAAAAAAGAACAGGAGGAACAAGGCAACTTTTACAACAAAATTATGATCCAGGAGCAAAAAATGGCACAATATCGTGTACAGCTTCCCCATAAACCCCGATGAACAAGTCCCATAGCTACAAATAGTTTACCCTGCAAGGAGCCTCGAGACGAGTGATCGATATTTTGCGAGGAATGATAACCAGACCCCGATATCTGGCTGGAGGGTTGGTCACCAGTGATGTTAGGTGTTACTCCCCACGCCCCCAACCCGGCACGACCATCACCTCCGCCTCCAGAAAGCCCCACTCCACCTGACAGGCTTGATGACCGCTCAAAGCCACCACCTCGTCTGCACACAAAAAAATGACCTGCATGAGCATACGGCAGTCACACTCAGCTAATAAATTGGCAGTACCTGAGAAAGAACAGAGTTAATGTTGACAAAATGCAATGTTCTGACGCCATTAACTCACCGCATGGCCATGCCAGGTGGCGCCAATTCCCTGAGTCCCGTGCCCCGACCAGACTCGCCGTCCTCCTCGTAGCTGAGACCACGCATGTAATGCTGGGTAGGGCCGCCCCTCGCTCGGCCCCTTCCACGGTCCATGCTGCCTCCTCTACCACGGCCGCCTGGCCCCCCGGCACCCAGAGAAGTGGCGCCACCCAGAACACTACCAGGCGCCACCAGCCCACCCCCTCCACCGCCGCCGCCACCACTCACACCACCACCACGTCCCGTGTTGCCGTTCGCCATGAAGCGTAGGGCACTGTCACTGTTGATGTTGCGCTGCCACATGCGCTGCACACCACACAACATTAGGTCATTCATTACATGACATTGTACAAGTCTTTAAAGAATAACCTGCAGAATAATCAGTGTGAAGCTACGGCAAATAAGACTCATAACCACAAAGTACATGCCAAGATCCCCCTAACTGTAGGACTACAATACTGCCATCGCCCATACAATAACAAAGTTTTCAAATCATGACATTGTTTGCAAGCAAATCAGACAGACAACAGAAGAAGCCCACAAATAAGTTAGTGAAGAGCTTAAACGCAGTCAAAATCTTGACAAAAGAACACATCTTGCATGACAATGGCCCACGCTGGATGAGACATGTTTGAAGCCGAGTAACTTACATATTATGAAAAGCTGAGTAACAGATAATAGGAAGCTCAGTATGTTATAGAATAAAGACGATGCAAAGCTGCGTAAGTTACAAATGATGAGAACTTAGTTATATTCACACTGAGGAGTATGAAGCAGTGAAGAGCAAGTAGGAAGCCTAGAGAGGGACTGAAAAGAAGTTCCTAGAAGTGTCTTTACCTGCTCTTCTTGCGATAAAGAAGTGAAGGCGAGGGGAACAGTACACTCTTGATCCCCACAGAGCCCAGCTGGATCATCGACGAGATGATCAGGGGGCGCCTCCATGCGCGAGCACAACTCCAGCATCTTCTCTTTGCTATAGCGGTGCTCGGCCACGGCAGGCTGCGGTCACCACACCAGGTCAGTCCTCCACATCCCAACCACAAAGCAACTCCCACACATTACCCAGCTAATGATTACCGTCCAAATAAATACTGCATTCAACTCCACTAACTGTCGATTTGTTAATGCTTGCAGTTTGACCAACAGCTATTTACAAATTTCCAAACAAATTCTATACAAATGTCAACATCTTCGATGCTGAACTCAATGCTAACCAAATCCTAGTTTACACACTGCCCATAGCTGTTATAATCAAAAACGAAATCCGCAATATTTTCTTACATGAATAATGGTCAGTAAAATTCATATTGACAAGTCAATTAGATTTTTGCGAGATTGCATAACCAAATAGATGATAATGACCAGAACTTCAAATAGATGTCTACAATTCAAGTTAGACCAAAGTTATTGATCTATTTTCTTCAAGCAGCAAAATCTTACCAACAAAAAATTGAATATTTGCAATTTTTTAGATGAAATAAACAAATTTCAAGGTAGAACACATCACTAGAAGAGGTTTAGCTTAGCCTTTGCAGCAAAGTACCCGCTGGCAGAAATCTCAGTTAAAAAAAATTGTTCAATACGGACTAAACCCCATCAAAGCAAAATTGAAACCTTAGTTTCTACAGCTAATGTCTCAAGCAATTGAGACAAGATTTACCTACTTGGCCAATAGTTCATATAAACAATGAGATTGTCCCTTTATTTGGTGTGGTGATGGTAGTCTCTAAGAGAAAAAAGCTGTCGCAAGGAAAGTTCAAGAAGTGGCATGAAAATGTTTCAAGAAACTCAGAAAGCAAGCAGGAGGCAAATTGGGGATGAGTAGGAAATGAAAATCCACATTTGAAATATAATGCTAAGCATGATCACTTTGCTTCCTTGAGTATACCTGGTATATAAAGAGGCTGAGGAGGCATAACTTATCAGCCATGCAGCATTTGGCAAATAAAAAAAAAAAATCTGCCAGAAAGGCTGTGCCATTCATAGTGATAATATTATGAAATTACAAAAATTGCATTATTATTTGAATCCCAACAACAACTATTTGAAAAAATAAACGATTTACAAGCATAATGCAAACAAAGTTATGACTTAAATGAATGAAAGTTGATGCATGATGAAAATGTGGAAAACTTTGTTCCAAGCAATGAAGGTTAATTCAAGAACCTTACAGTGGGGGGAAATAAATAATCGTACACTTGAAAAATCGTATTTTAATGTATGTAAGTACACAAACTTAACAGGAAAAGTGATTTAAATTATGTATAGAGACGCATAGTATTCAAAAATACTATCAAAAGAAATTAAATCTCAATGCAACAAAAAACAATGCAACATGTTCACTTTTCAGGTGAAAAAAGTATTCGTACAAAACAATAAATCCGCATTATTTTAATTGAATACTTGGTTGTATACCCTTTATTCAGCTCAACAGATACCAGTCTATTTCTATACGTCTCTCTGTGGTACAAGACCCAAGCATACTGTGGTACAAGACCCAAGCATACTGTGGTACAAGACCCAAGCATACTGTGGTACAAGACCCAAGCATACTGTGGTACAAGACCCAAGCATACTGGGGTACAAGACCCAAGCATACTGTGGTACAAGACCCAAGCATACTGTGGTACAAGACCCAAGCATACTGTGGTACAAGACCCAAGCATACTGCAGTACAAGACCCAAGCATCTAGAGGTAAATAATCCATGAAAGCATTAATGAATAATCTGGCATAAAAACTGGATGGTCAAAGCACCAATGCAAACATCATTCAAGCAAGCAATAACAACCTTAAACCTTATATATACCATTACTTTGTTGCGAGATACTCATACTATGAAGTTCAGGGCAGATCACAAGGCAAAATATGAAATAACTTGTGTTTGGTAATTCAAATAGTATTTTTTGTTACTGAATCAATATAGAAACACAAAAATAATAATTGGAAGATAGTAGGCTGGTGCGCAATAGAATTCAATGTAAATGAACAGAACATATTCAAGCAGCACATCCAGATCAACAATGATTGCATTTTATGAGTATATTTTAAGGAAGTACAGCACCTGATTGATCTCTGTATTTAAAAAAAATGCTGATTATGACGAGGCTAAACAAATGCTTCAAAATATGACCTAAGTGGAATAATACAAATCCAAAAGGAAAGTGTGTGAGGGTCATTAAGTAGATTTAAATGCAATTTTAACCAAATGATTCCAATTTTAAATAAAAATCTCAATTGAAACATTAAATATGAAGATAGGTATACAAACAAAAATGCTAGTAATTCTTAAAATGTACAATTTTACTAATTGAAACCATCACTCCTGCATTACCCAGCATAAGATGTTCAATGATTTATATAGTGTGTACTACAGCAAATCCCCTCTGGAAAAGTGTTATTGAGGTTTAGAGACCAGAGTGATCACTAATACTTGAATTACCCCCAAGAAATGCTGTAGCAAAGTGATCACAAGGTTAATCATACTTTAAATAGGCTTTGAACACTTGTCTGTGATCAAACTACCTCAATTCATCAACTCTACCTAAAGTGCTAAAATAAGCTGCATCCAGCAAAACCAATTGCTTAAAGAAAACTGAAACCTAAGGGTCATTGTCACTATTGACATGAAGAATAAATTGAAGAATAGGGTATAAAACTTAGGCTATTGAATTAATGGATTAAAATGTATATTGGAAAATTAATCTTAAAAAGCCCAGGAAACATTTAACTTTTGTGAAGTTTCTTCATAATTATTATAGAAACCATGTCCCTGAGAACGAACAAGGGATCAACAAGAACAGAGAAAAATAAAACAATCTCAAGCATCTGGTGAATTTTTTCCCAAATTTTTGCAATACAATAGTAAAGTCAATAAAAAAAAATTAGGTTAAAAGCCACATGCACCATAATAGAAGATTATGCTTGAAACACATCAGTATAATGAGTTTTATAATTCCCAAAGTTGCCAAATTCTGAAATAATGATGTGCAAGATCATAGGAAAAACTCGACTGACAAACACACTAACAGCATTCAAATTCAGCAAGTTTTTTCCATATATTATGAATGTAATTACAACATTTAATCTCTTGCCTTTTTGTTAGCAGGAACTTGTTGATGACAGAGGAGTGCACTACCACCAGCTTGGCCACCATAGGAGAGTTGCCTCATCCACTCGGGTCCAAACTTGAGTTCAGTGTCTGACATGTCGCTAACACGAGAGCAGATGCCAACAGTGATGGCAGTGATGATGTGAAGGTGGCGGCTGGCAAATGGACTGCTTTAGATGAGCACTTCAATGATCACACCACTATCACGATCAGGCCCAATTTAGATGTTGTATAGATGATAGGTAACTTGATGGTAACAGATGATACTTGAACAACAAATCCTGCACATATATCATCACAGATTAGGATACCATTTTAGACATTTTTCTAGTTATTCAAAATGAGAACTTTCAACAGACATTATGGTAATTAAGGAAGAGAAAATACAAAGCCTTTTCAGAATGTTATTTAATGCAAGACAAATTGGCTTTAAGGAGAGATCATAATGAGCTAATTTGCCATCAAATTAACTTCTTGGAAAATGTATAACATTGATCTTCATATAGGACGTCTGAACAGGTGGCATTGTGGCTGAAGCACCCAGTGAGTGTAACAAAATAATAATAATAACAAAAAAAAATCTGGGCTTAGGATAGCTCTCAATTTTACTTAGCCTTATGTTTCTAAACAAATTTATTTGGTAAAATTTAGGAAAAATGAAGCGTTTCACTTTGGAAAATTATTTGTGAAACTATTATTTTTTACCAATTCTCTGAAAATTCTGTCAAATTTTCTAGTTTGCTCAGTGATTAGATAAATATTTTTAACACCAATAGCCAAGTCTATAATTAATAATGTCAGGCAGCTGGTGAAAAATTCAAAAAATCAGGAGTACATAAGTTTCTTGGGTATTTTTTTATAATTGCAGACAAGAATGCATTCTTTTTTTTAGTTTTTACTGATAAATTAGTCAAGGGCTATACTAGAAGTGCTGTGGGACTGGGGGGTGAAATTGACTGAATCTGCAAGCATCTGCACTTTCATCTTATTTATGGTTGGTTTCCACCTAACTTCCTACTAGATTCCTAGTAGATTGTGGGCCTAAAAAATATATTTATATTCCAATTGCTTCCAAACATGGTGGCAATCCATAGGTTATTCAAAAGAACCTGTTCTTATGTCATTTTGAACCGATCAACGCTTCTTTACGGACCGATCGTAAAACACCTTCACCGGCAAAAGCTTTTGCACTTCTGAAGAAAGTCAGCTGACAGCTACACTGGCCGTGGGGCGTGGTGGACCGAATTTGAATTTGAATCCCCCCCCCCGCTGAGCCGGACCGGTCGATGCTCTTGCAAACGCATACGTACTCACAATAATTCCCTGCCACCATGCTTCCAAATTCAAGGAGAATGGTATCAATTTCAACAATTTGTAAGGTGCAAAGCAACAGTTAGCAACTTGCAAGTTGAGCTAGACTATCAAACATAAAGAACTTGGTAACCACTTCTCTGCTTACTAGTGCTTAGAATATGAATTCCAGACTTAAAAGTGAATGTTCTACAACCAAAGTAAAATGAGCGAATGTGGCATGACAATCGACGAATAATGTCACGCGGAGCACATGATTTTGAATGATATTTATTGGCGCAAAGCACAAAGCGGTTAATTCCGGCGCTTCGTTGTCATCAATGTCATGATTGTGCACTTGCTCGAATCTTGACAACTGAAATGCTTAGGCAAGAGCAAATAATAAATGCCACTAAACCATGTTTCAATTATCAATGCCATAAAAAACAAATTGTCTGCCCAGTGCCCACTACAAATATTTTCTTTTCGAGACTTTTCACATCGTGTTTTGAACCAAAACAATGGAGCCCGTATGAATTGTATTGATTTTTTCAAGCAAATCAACGAGTTTCATAATACATGCATGGTGCAGGTGAAAGTTTCACGTTGTTATTGATCCCCAGCATTCAACAAATAAAATTTCGAGAAGATCATTTACCAATGATAAATGCGTAGATACTCGCAGTAGACTCTTCTGACAAGACAAAGATGGCTGAGTTGGGCTGGCGCATGCGTAGTTGCGTGCTTTGAAACAAATGAATGACGATCAAAATAAAGCTATCCCTCTATTTTTTCGCATCGAGATGAAAAAATGTAGTAGATTTCAGAAAAGAATAACACGATGCCAAATTTATGTCAGAGGTTTGTCTCTGTATGCGACAATCATTGTTATATTTATGAAGAACTCTAAGGAATCAGCAATCCATTTCGAGAATTTTGCGTGAACTATTACGGTTTTTACAAATTAGCATGCTTGGCATGCCACTGGCTTCCACCAGCCTATTAAAGTAGCTAAGACGAATGATGCATAGCACCAAACATTTTTAATGATCGCAAAAACCACTGCGTGACAAAAACCGCTCACGCATATCGGCATATGTTTCGAGCACTGCGACATACTGTAACTACACCGAATCGACACTTCTCCGGACCGCCCTGCGAACTCCGGAGAAGTGTCAATTCGGTCACGCAAGGAGAGTATTAGCTAACAGTATTTTCTCATCCGCAAGAGTTAGTGCGTTGTTAGAAGTCGTTGAGTGATTTTTGTGTTCGTTAGATGAATAAGGAACGTGGCAATAATGTCGAGTTAGAGGAGGCTTTTGATGTAGCGGATGACGAAATCGTGGCGACTTTATCTGAGGAGATGACAAATGTCGTCGATTAACGTAGAATTTGGGCAAATAACTAAGAAGGACGGAGAAATAACTTGAAAAATATTCGCCATTGTTCCGTGAACTCACTGAGCCGCGCATATACGTACATCTCGGCTCTGCAACTGGTGTCGCTTTTCGGCGCAATGCATAAAAACTAACCCTTTTAACTGCAAGTATCCGCTTCCAACTCACTTTTCTTTGTAAAGGTATTAGCCCGATAAATGCAGTTAAAGCACTTGCTGAGAATACTTTTAGCGTGAATAACCGCCTTGTCGCGGGCTACTGCATTGGCCATCCCAACGCTGCGACACGAGTAACACGACTGAACCGAAACATAAAATTCCTTCACATATAAGGTGCTTGTACACAGTGATAGTGCAGACGGCTAGTAAATCTGGCTAGTGTCGGTCGCTTGGTGACTATCCGGCTAGTAAGCCTGTACACACGAGGAGAGTATAAGGTGTTATTCTAGCCCTTAAAAATACAGCGTCGGGAACAACTAAACCCTGACTAATAAGGTCTTCTTTCCGTTTCAAAATACTCGTTTCTCTCTTCATTTTGTTGGAGTAACCATCATGTAAAACATTACATTTTAATTCATATTTTTGGAATATTTCAAAGAATAATTGAATATCGTCTGGAATCCACTTTGTTGGATTCCTCTTAGAAACATTATCGTTCAAACAAACCATGATTTACGTGACCCAAGATACTTCACAGGAGCGGCACAGATTCTCTCACCATGGCTGCATCAGCGCTGCTAGCCACTTCTCCAGCCAAAGATATCAACACATCGTTGTCTCTCTCGGCCGCGCCTCGGGCACTTGCCGGCGCATGCCTCTGAAGCGGCTGAACCCCTATACACGAGGCTAGTAGCGTGGACAGTTCAAGCGCCCGATGAACTAGCGGCTAGTACTATCCCTGTGTACAGGCACCTTTAATTAATTAATTGAAGTATAATGTTTTCCATGATTGTTACTCCAACATTAATCCTGTGAATCAGATGACACGTAGTTTACGCATGCGTATTCTTATTAATTTTGGGGTCTTTTTATTGCTAACTGGATAGTTACACAACGTTAGATGCCTAAAATTTGACATTCATCTCGGCCTCATTAGCTACAAAATGTATACATTAAATTGTATTGCGGGGAGCAAAGTCTTATTTGTTTATTGGAATTCCCGCTCCTAGGGGGATTGTTCCTGAGCGCCCCACCGCTGAGCTCGCGGTGTCTGACTGCAGGTCTCAGTTGTGGGGTTAAGTTATTAGGTAGGTAGGATTCCTTACATTTCCCTTCTCTGTCTCTCTCGTACGGGCGGCCGACGTCCCGTGTAAGCGACCTTTTGTTCGAGTGTCTTCGTTTCTGTTGCTTTTCACCTGTCCCTCCTTGTCACTTCGTCTCTTTGAGATGCTAACGCTGCTTCCTTCGAGCCAGCTTCAGCGGGCGGGACAACTGAGACCTCCCGCCCCTTGTGGGTGATGAATAATTGAGACCTTCCACCTCTATGGTGATGTTCATCTTGACTTTCGGTGCGAGATAGCTAAATAGCTGAAGCGCTAGTAAACATTTGGCCACTAAACTAACTAACTGACTTACTGGAATTCCGTTTTTACAAGGACAGGGAAATTGAAGTCGCGGTTGTTGTTGTTGTAGCAACATCAACCACTAGTCCGCTCCGAGGCCGATGAAGCGCTCCACATCGATAGGCTGCGTCCAAAGATCGAGTGCCGAAAGTTGTGTCGGTTTGGCCGGGCAGTTGAACAAATGTTGTACGTCGTGTGGGCCGATTCCACAATCCGGACATACGTTGTTGACATTGGTGTCGATTCGGCTCATATAGCTGTTGAGCAGGTGGCACCATCCCGACCGTAGCTGGGCCAAAGTGGTCCTGGTTGCGCGCGGTAACCGACGTTCCTCCGCGGCGATGGGTGGTGGGTAGCCCCCGAGCACCACGTTCGGCTTGTAACCGGCTATTCCGTCTGCTACTGCTCGTCTGTGTATGTTCATCAGGCATTGTTTGTATTGTGTGTGGTCGGCGTTGAGTACTTGTATGTATTGACCAATTTCGTACAAGTAGGATGTTACATCTTTCCTGATATTTCTTGGCGGTCGCGGTTGTGTGACGATGTTCCGATTCGGGTGTTGGGGTTGATGGTCGTGTCGCTTTCTAGACTCGGCCGTAATGAATAGATCCTTCAGAATAAAATAACCGACGAATACGTTTAAAATTATGAATCTACCGACATATAATTCAATACTAAGCCTATCATTCCCCTAACAACGACAAATAACATGAATGCTATTTGTCGGCTCACTCATAAACAAAACTGTTAAGTCAATACTTTTAGAATAGAATAGAATAGAAGTGTCGGCGCTGAAGAAATAGGCCCATGGCCTGTTGTTTGGTAAATCGCTTCCTGCATTTTTAAGATCGTAAGGTTAGCTAAGATAATTTAAGTGTTGTTTGCGTCTAATACAACAATGTCCAAACTTCGATAGCTTTGCACTCACCCAGGCGAACACGGGAGCAGTCACGTAGGACTGTGTAACTCCTGATAGCTTACCGCGTTTCTATGGGTACAAAACGCAAATTTATCAGCAGAAGATATGTATATCAAGGCAGTCATGATATACCATGTAATATTTCACTCGATACATTACAAGCTTGTACGTTAACCGACTGCGTACACAGCAAGGGAATACTCGGTTACATAACATAACATAACATAACATAACATAACATAACATAACATAACATAACATAACATAACATAACATAACATAACATAACATAACATAACATAACCTAACATGGTAACAGGCAATGGTTGTAAATCTGTGCCACATTTTCTTGTTTCTATGGCGAATATTATTCATAAGTAAAAAATATAAAAAAACTAAAGAAAGTTAAAGGCACCACATCAGCACTATTGGGACGAATTTCCATTGCAGGTTTTCAACGCATAAGTTGGTCAAATCGAAACCGATCATGACGAATTGAAAATGGACATATTTTTTTACATTACGCTCATTCTAGCATCGGCAGAATTTTTTATCGATACTTTTTGTTTAGACCCCGCTGCACGCCTAACTGAGGCGCGTGACGACTGATGGTGCGTTTTACGTAGTGCGTATAGCGCACTACAGAAAAACAAACAGGACAAAAGTAATTCTGACAACGCTTGCAGGAGTTTATAGTGAATAAAAGACTTCCTTGCTATTTAGGTGAAGATCGGACTCAATCGACAATTCTACGGACCCGCCTGCGAACTCGCTTGCGGACTCGCGCAACTGGGACACTCATAATTCCTTCAATACATAACGGATCTGTATGAATTTCGGAATATGAGTTTTAATTATCGATACGCTGCCGCAGGGATTATTACAGATTTTTACATGACTTATTTATAAGTTAAAACCAATAAACGTATTTTTTAAGCAACTGGGACACTCATAATTCCTTCAATACACAACGGATCCGCTCGAATTTTGGAATGTGAGTATTAATTATCGATACGCTGCCGCAGGAATTATTACAGATTTTTACATGAATTATTTCCTAACCTAACCTAATAATAAGTCATGTAAAAATCTGTAATAATTTCTACGGCAGCGTATCGATAATTAATACTCACATTCCAAAATTCGAGCAGATCCGTTAAGTATTGAAGGAATTATGAGTGTCCCAGTTACTTAAAAAATACGTCTATTTGTTTTAATTAAAAAATAGTTCATGTAAAAATCTGTAATAATTCTTGCGGCGGCAGGAGTGTCACATGTTGCGCGAGTCCGCTGGCGAGTTCGCAGACGGGTCCGTAGAATTGTCGATTGAGTGAAGATGTTAAAATTTATAACTAATTAACTCGTTAATGTGTATACGCTTATCGTTTGTCTCGTGTTAGGAGGCAGAGTCGACGCTCGTTAGCTCTATCTTACTGACTATTGCTTTAAACCTTACCCGAGTGAAGACCTCTTGCTCAAACAGTTTTACCAATTTTGTCAACTCTTGCTTATCTATACCTTAATTTGAGTTTGTGCGAGTGTGTTTTCATTTTATTTTGTTCAATTTAATGCATGTTAGAACTTCTGTGTTTCGCTCGTTGAAGATCTTGCTTTACCGGCTTTACGCCAGTGCTTTGAACCCGTAGGGGTTATTGGCTCCTTGGAGCTTCGGTGTATACACCGATTATGTCACATGCCCTGTGCTGTGAATTAACTGCATGCTTGCATGCGCTTTACTCTCTTTAAGTACGAGCGAACACTCCTATTACTGTTTTCACTATTTTCTTCCTAATAGTTCTCTCCATGAGAACTCTTGTCTAGGGTTCCTCAACGGAAACAAATAGGTTTGTCATTTTGATTATTTGAAACTGTTATCATTATTCTGAATTTATATTATTCTTTTTCTCGTTTCCTCCTGGCTTCGTTCTGCGAACCAATTCTCTTTGCGGAACCACAATAAAAGTTTCAACGCTTTCTTTGTTTTTGATTTCCAATTGTACCAAAATTCAACAAAGATCGGCATCGATTTGATGAATGTATGCGAGGGAAACTTAGAGTTTAGCGCGCTAATTAAAAAGTAAGCGGAAAAAATTGTCGATGCTAGCATTGGCGTAATGTCGAAAGGTATACCCTTTTTTTAATATCGTCATGACCAGTTTCGATTTGACCACCTTAGGTGTGAAAAATCTATCATGGAAGTTCGTCCCAATAGGTGGCATACCAAGGAGTATGAGGGCATACCTCTTGGTATGCTCTCATATACCGTTTGTTGGACGAAAGCCACTGGTTAAAAGCTTCTGAACAAACTAAAATTATCGGTCCTAATATAACCACAGTCGTTCATACAAGTGGTGTAAACGAAAAATATTCTCGATATCTTCTATAATCAGGTCAATTTTTTATTATGATAATACATTTATTTCGTAAGAATGGAGGAAACATAAACTGAATTGCAATTTTTGACTTTGACTTTGACAATACGATTTAAGGTCCCTGACGGTCCTGTTCATCGGTCGACAACAATTTTTATCAGCACCGCGACCGTCGCGGTGTTTTGTACAGATCGACCATGGCTTCCAGCTCCGACTTCTTATTACTGAGCGAGTCCACATTACTGTATAAATATATGCACTGCCTATTGTGTTCAGCCTTGTCTTGCAATGGATCTGTCTTGATTTTAAAGCTATGTACATTGGGATCATCCCTTGCTAGGAGTTGCCCTGATTTCGGCTTGGCGATTGGGAAGAAGACTTTTCGTACAGTTTAACATATTCAAATGAAGATAATGCTCGTTTCTAAGATATTAGTTTGAAATCCAGCTAGTGCGTAAACGAGAGAACAAAATCATAGAGATCCATAACGAATCGCAGGCGGACAGCGTAAGGCATTTGTTTTCGGTGGCACTGGGGCTGAAAAGATGCCAAATAGCACAAGAAGTGTAGTTTACGAATTAATTTCATTTGATTTCTCTATTTAAATGTAGTATAGAATATATCAATCAAATAAAAAAGAATATGAATAATATCTACTAATCACATTATTCAATTCTGGTGATTTCTACTTCAGTTAGCCTCTAATTTTGGTAGCGATAGTACGGCATTTAGAAATTACTCCGGAACTTATTATCTAGAATTTTTGTCCCAACAGAACAACCTGCAAAGTCTTTAGCTATGATTGGATTAGGAAACCTTTCAAGTCTGGTCTGAGCTGGTCTGTGAGCTTGTTCGGAGTGCGGTTAAGCTGCTATAAAAGCTCCTGAAGAAGTTTGATGTTCTTCAGTATTGGAGTATTTTTCATCGTACGCGAGTCACCCAGCGGCCTGTCCCCACCCAGTTGCTTATGAATCTTGTGAATGCAGCAGTAATGATTCGGAACTATTTTTTCTTTACGTCAAAAAGAGGTTAAGATTTCGTTTTGTTTGTGCGGTTTGTAGTTTTTAGTGTTTTAAGTTTTGTTAGTTAAGTTAACATGGCGTGCTGTTTGAGTGAAGAAGCAAAAGAACAAAAACGAATAAACCAAGAAATTGAACGCCAATTACGACGAGATAAACGAGATGCCAGAAGAGAACTTAAATTGTTACTTTTGGGTAAGTTTTGGTAAAATGATATTTACTCCCTCAAATTTTTTAGGCAATCATATAATTTACATCCATTTTTGTTTCACTCCAGTTCATTATAGCCTCAGCCCTCAGGATTGTGGAGGATAAGTCCTGCACGTTAAAGGCTCAAACTCAAACTTTACCTGCCTGCCTATAATGTGTTTGATATTGCTATCCTAAATCTCTGTATATACAATTTAAAAATCAGATTTTTTGACCAGAAATTGCATAAGTAATTGGTTTTGATGACAGTAAAATTGAAATTCAATGATCTTACTACATCACCATTGATCAATGTAGCCTACTGTTTAGTTTGTAAGGTTTTTACCTCTAGGATATAGGTAGGCTAGCCTGTATGAAAAATTTTCAATGAAATGGTGAAAATGCCTTGATGAATTTGATCATGAAATGTACCTCAAGACATAGTGGCAAAGCAGAGAGTTTTTTAGACTCTCCCTCAAGTTCATTTCTGAGTCTTATAAGTAGAACAGTACAGTATCCTGGATACCAGCATTATCATACTTAAGAAATTGGTTTAAATCATGGGTAAATGAGGAAACTAAAAATAAACTGATTCTAAAAAAGCTCTGGTTTGCCACTATGCCTCAAGGTGTTTGTTATTGAAATCACATCAATAAATCACTAGGCCAATTATCAAAGCCACTAAAGTTGCCATCTCATTAAAGTTTCCATGCTACAGTGGACCACTGTGCAGACTGCAGAGAGTGGTTTAATATCGCAAGATCTTTGGCGACGCTTGAGTAGCAAATTTTACGCCTTCAGAAGATCTTGCTGACACATTTAGATTCCAGGTTTCATAGTGTGGCACAAGAGTTGTTGTAATAGTATCTCAGGGATCATCTGGTCATTGAAAATCCACATGCCACTCGTTGGTCGGTAGGTTTTCCAGTCGTTAGTTGGTAGGTTTTCCAGTCGTTAGTTGGTAGGTTTTCCAGTTGTTAGTCGGTAGGTTTTCCAGTCGTTAGTCAGTAGGTGTCTTAGTCGTTTGGTCACACGTCACTTAACAAATCATCGTTAATAAGAAAATAACCTCAAGGTTTTGTAAATTCTATTGTTAATATGCAACACACCACAGGTATAATGCATTAATGGTTTAATTTCTTTACACCAAGCACCGTGCCATCTTTACTCCTGAACACTGACGGTGACGGTCTGACCGGCGACCGCTTCTGATAGTAATACCTACGTAAATATTGCGCGTAATCAAACGCAAGCTACCTATCCCTAAAATACGGAGGGCGCAGCTGTCTCGGAACGGCAAACTCATTTTAAAATACAAAAACTAAGGTATTAATTTTGTTTCATTTTCAACTCTTTATCCTATGCGGATTGCATCGAATTCCTTCCTTTTTAGCGTTGTCAACTGCACCTGACAATAAAATATAAGACATCAATGCAGCACATTCCAATATGTTAGAGTAATCGGCAATACTTGAAATTAAAAAAAAGCACAGAATAGTCAAATGAAGCTTGTGCAATGTATAACAAGCTACGACAACATTCTTGGTTAATAAAAGGGCTTTCTTTGGTCAAGAAGTTCAAGTTAACTTTATTTTCAGGAACTATTCCTACTAGACTACCGTACCTGAACTCGCCATCAAAAATTGTTAAAGTTAGCTCTCAAGATATAAGTGATTTTAGAGAAACTGTAAATGCTTTTTCCGCCATGACATTACTAATGAAGGTTCATTTTATGTACGGACAAGTTTTGGGCAAATTCTTTGTCCTATCCAAGACTTTGCTCCGCGCGTACTTGTTCTTTGCCCGCATCCTAATGTCAGTGAATATTTTGTTTAATTTAGCTAGTAAAAAAATGGCATCATTTATAATAAAAAAAGTGGTCTAAGTTACCCCATTTTACAGTACTTCAAGGGGAGAAGATGCACTCGAGAGCTTTATAATGAAAGAACATTCAAGAGCAAACACGGTATCGCTTTTTGACATGGTTAAGCTTTCCACAAGTGGATCACTCTCACCATCGATTTCATTAAGAAGCTTTTCTTTCAGCACACCGCGATTTACGCGGAACATTTTGCGGCCAACATCGCTGAAAAGCTCCCCCCAATTACCTATTCAATGAACTTCAATCGTATATAAAAACAATACATTTCTGCCCATGCTGCTCCGTTTGGTTTGGTCAACATGGTTTCGTGATTTCGATACTTATCTAGTTGAAAAAATTGCACTTCGTAGCTTTTAACTGATCATTTAAAATCATTTGCTAGTGCTTTCCTTCTAGCAAAATTACACTTCGAACATTTTTGCAGCAGGTAACGTGGCATGGTGGTAGTGACCAGATCTATTTTATTATCCCCATCTACTGAGCATATTTCAATGAAACTTTGCGCGTGAAATGAAATAATTAATCTGATGTGTTTAGCTTGTGATAAATTTTATAACTTCAGCTCCAATCACATGCCACACAGCAATACGTGCAAGAATTTCCTGTGGCGATTGGCGAACAAATTCTTTCCGAATTGCTGAACAAATCTTAATAAACTCAAGAACTCGGACTCACTAAAGATTTTCGCATGTGTTCAGTCGTTCAGATAGCAATATTTTTTCGAATTACCGCTGCATTCTCAAGTTATATGGCTGATCATTAGACATTCATACGAGAAGAGCTATAATCTATAGGGAAGGAATAAATTTTGAATAGAACATCGACTTTAAGCCTTCAAGTTTGAGGTCTAGAAATTTATTACTTGCTACATCCTATTACATATTACTTGCCTATCCAGGCCTATTTATTTAATGCCGAAGATACTATACTACATTCAGTCAGCATGTTACGAATGTAATAGTTTAAAATTTTCTCTGGATATTGTTGTGATCGGTAGATATTGGTTATAATTGTGTGATTAATTTTGCTCTTTGTGCAAAAACTACCTCCATTTGTACCAATGGTATGAAGGTTACAGAAGAGGCACACAGAAAATTTTATTGTAGTCAAGTTTCAACTTGAAAAGAAGTCAATGACCAGCGCCATCTGTCGGATTTTTCTTCCAAGCTTTAACACATAGGACAGACAGAACCAGAATTTTGTAAACTTGTGACTGATAATCGGCGGATGCGATGCTGTCTTGTACATTTCTGTTTCAAGCGGTGGCGTTACTGGCATCTGATGATCTGAAACCAAAAAAATACCTGAGTGATAGCAGTCAGTGTATTATTTTCCAAAAATATCGTGTATTACATTATTCATAGTCGTTGTAATATATAAAATTAACTATCAATCCAGGTTTGGAGTCATTGTAATTACCAAAAAATGGTCGTTAACTTTACAAAAAGTCGTTGAAATTCCAACGACTCCTGCCACACTATGAAACCTGGTTTAGATTGAAATTCTTGCATTTAATGTCAGTCTTTGGCCAACTATTTAGAAAAAAGTAAGGTTTCCAGTATGTTGGTCCGTTGGATGGATCAGGATGCAGTGAAGCTTTCTGGAAATCAGTTAAGAGGAGTTCCCACCAAAAAAATGTAAACATCAAGTTTACAATTAAGTAGGTCCTGGTGCGGTCACATTAGAGTGGTCAGACTGCATTATCACATGTTTAGTTGACACTTGCTCTACAATCAGACTGTTTTTAGGGTAAAATTAGTTATTTGGGGTGACATGTGCATGCCACCTTGTAAATACGTTGGTTGCTTGTAAATAGTTTTTAATTACTCAGCATAAATGGCTTTTCATTAAAAATTACCCGGCGATGCATCTTGAAATTGGCTGGCGACGCTTTGGGCTTAAAACCCATATATTGGCAATGCTGCATCCACCCTCTGCACCCTGGACAGTGGAAAGGAAATATTTCTTAAGAATGAAAATAGCCCCAGGGCAGGATGGAATTCTAATAATGAAGGTTCATAGCTATATTATTACCAATCCACCAAGACTAGTTTTTTGATCTAACAACGTTATTTGAGGTAAGAAAAAGAACTTACTTGGAGGCTTAAAACACGCATGATATATCTCATATGGGTATACTAAGGTTAAGCTTCTATAAAGTAATTAAACTCAACAATTAAAGCTTGACTTATAAAAAGTATTAGTTAGTTGATGATTAGTCTCTTAAGTTGACTGCAATGAACTAAATTTCATAAAGTAATTACAACTACACTGCCAATCAGACTTTTCCATGATGCACACTAAACATGCAATTCATGGGAGTGAGATTACATATCACAAAGAAAGCTGGCATGCAACTGATGATCCCAGCCCAGAGCCCAGTGCATATCTACTGGAATGATCATGGTTGCTGGCAGGATGGAATTCTAATTTTGACGGATCATATATTATTTCAACCCACCAAGACTAATTTTCAATCAAACGTTATTTGAGGCAAAAATATGAACTTCTTAAAGGCTTAAAACATGAATGATAACTTGCTCAATTTCTATAAAGTAATCACTTGGAAGCATGGTGGCAGGGAATTATTGTGAGTACTTGTCGGTCCACCGCCCTGCGTCGGTCTTAACCCTTCGCAAGGCACCATGCCCTTGGCCCTTGGGCCCCTCTTGCAAGTTGTAATGGTCTAAACTCAACAGTTCAACCCCATCCCCATGATCTCATCACTACTCCTTTTAGAAATATGTGGAGTTTCGAAATTGATAGTAATAAATCAATAAATATTTGAACTGGGAAATTCCTTAGTTACTTACGTTGGTTCCACAATGATATCAATGACGTAAAAAATTACAATGACATCGGTTAAGCGGCCATGATTCTAGCTTTGCTAAGTCCTTACACTCTTACCTCGTAATTCATGATGTTAGAACTTTGATATTCAAATGTTGAATATCTTTCAAGTGTCAATATCACAATCAAAATTATTTCACAATGAGAAATATGTTATAATATCACAATCGAAAATATTATTCACAAATAACCATCCATTTCAATGCCGAACTGGACTCCCATCTTCACGCTAGGCTGCTAGCCATATGTTTACATACGTCACAAACGGTGACGT